CTCAGATAATACACAGAAGCCTCAATGCTCTGGACATGACTATCTTTTCAGCATATTCTCCTGGGGATCCCCATGTGTGCCATGGGCTTGGCCCATCCTAAAACTGCTCTGATTCTCAGAACAAGCCATGCTCCACATTCTCTCAAATTCTTATGCTTTTGTTTCTTTGGCCTATAATGTCCCCTCCTCTGCTTCCACTAATTCTTAATCATCTTCAAGTCTTGGCTCAAGCTTCACTGACTCTAGGAAGCCATCCTTGATGAGGGTCCCTCATGCTGAGTTAGGCACCCCTCCTGAAGGCTCCCACAGCAGCTGTGCATTCCATTCTCCTAGCGCTGACCACTGCATTGTAATTGTGTTTGCCCTAGATTGTGAATTTTTTGAGGCTAGGGATTGTTTCTTGTATGATACACAGTAGATGCTAATGAATAAAGAATTGCTGTGAGAACCATAAGGAGATATTACATAGCATGTGCTTAGCACATACTAGACACTCAGTAGTACCTTCCCTTCCACAGAAAGCTATGTATTCCTGTCCTGAGATTTCTACCTGAAGCAGTTCTTAAAGAGGAGACAAAAGAAGAAACTAATGAGCCACAAGTATTTTTGTGCTTAAAAGTTACTATCAACAATCAGATAAAATGACATCTTGTGTCTCCTGGTATCATGCACTGAAAAGGACAGAGCATTGCTCCTGTAGTATTCCTACCAAAACGAATAACAAATCCAAATTGAAGGACATTTTACAATATAAATGGCCTGCATTCTTAAAAAATGTCAATGTTATGGAAGACCAACTCAATGGAAGGCTGAGGAACCATTACACATTAAAGGAGGCTACAGAGGAATGAAAACTAAATGCAATGTGTGATCTGGATTTGATCCTGGACCAGATTAATAACATGCTATAAAGGATAATACTGGGACAACTGGCAAAATCTTAATAAGAACTGTAGATTACAGTATTATTATTCTGAAGTATTTAGGGGTAAAGGGGCATGATCTCTGCAACTATCAAATGATTCATTACAACTATGTATGTAAGGATGTGTGTTTATGATGTATACATACTGCATATAAGCATATATAGGAGAGAGAAGAGAAATGATTAAAAAAAGAATATGAACAAATGTTAACAACTGATGAATCGGAGTGAAACGTATTCAGGAGTTCTTTGTACTGCTTATGGAATCTTTAAGGAAAAAGGTTCCATGACTCATATCAAACGATTTGCAAAAGTAGCACACGGAAAAACTGGTACAATCACTAGAAAATGCTATATTTCAACATTATGATGATCTCTTGTTTCTGTGCTTACAGATTATACTATTTTACTGTATTTGTTATATAATTTAAAAAACTAAATTTCACCTATGAACATAAGATTCTGGTCATTACCTTCTACTAAAAGTAGAATTTTTAGAACCACGTGGGAGCTGATTAATGGCTACCAAGGCACAAAGCATTGCTTAAAATAGCCACTTGCTTTAAACGATATTCACACTTCTGAGACAGCATCTAAAACCATTATAGGAAATCACATTTTGGAATGGTAGTGAAGGCTGTATTAGGCTGTAGCAAAGTAACACGAATTACTTTTCTGGAAGTAATAAGGAAAAAAACCCAGTTTACTACAAAGGAAAAATATATGTGTACATTAGAATTAATTGAATATTTTAGAAGAACAGCTCTTTCACTGAACTTCTTGGTTAAATCAAAGTTCTTTACTCTTAGTTAAGAGCACTGTATAACTGCACTGAGATGCTAGCAATGTTGTCAATATATACATGATTCTGTTGAAAGTCTGATATAGGACTTCTCAACCTCAGCACTATTGACATTTTAGGCCAGACAGTTCTTTGTCGTGGGTCCTATGCTTTGCTGCATCTTTAGCAGCAACCCTGACTTCTAACCACTAGATGCCAGTAGTAGTCCCTCCCAGTGTGACAAGCAAAAATGCCTCCAGACATTGCCAAAACGTCCCTTGGGTGGCAAAATTGCCCCCAGTTGAAAATCATTGGTCTAAGATGACATAATTTAGATAGCATTTCTCCATACTTTGAAAGTTACTCTTAGATGATGAATACAATGTTTAGAAAATAAAATTAACTGTTGCAATGTCTCCCTAGTGTCTCTTGGATAAAATCCAAAACATTTAGTCTTCACCATTGTAACTGAAGTCTTCTATCCCTTTCTACAGAAAGGCTTCTCCAGTTAGTGTATTCTTGACTTCTGAAACATAATGTGCATCCCTGCCTGCAGTAAAAATGCACATGATTTTCTCCCTGCTGCCATATATCCACATCTTTTGAGTTGTCACAGTTAAAGCAGGACACTCCTTTCTACTGTGTGACTGGCCACAGCTAAATGGGTCAAAGGAGCACAACTGATAAAGATGGACCCAATCCAGAGGCTAGACGCGGCTCATCAGATCCTTCTCCTTGGGGCTGGGTGTTCTGTGTGGCTATCTTTGGGCAGTAAGCAAGTGAAGCAGAAAAAGTCAGCTTAAAATGAGAAAAAGCAGACACGAAACTATGAGAAAGGGTGGGTGAGCCAGCTTGTGGGCATATCCTTAATGAAGTCTATTGAAAAATCACTCCGAATTTCTCCTTCCTCTGAACTTCCTTAATTAGTGGCATGATTGTCAGCAAGTCACCTTATTTCAAAATCTCAGTTTACTCATTTGGAAAATGAGGAGGATAGGTCCCAAACAGCTTTATTCTTGAGCTCAAATGTCTGACTATTAATCATTGGTACTGTCTCCTGACATTGTTTTATATTGTAATTTAACTGCTGAATTATTACTTGACTTTTTCATGAAAACACCTTCCCAATGAATGTAATGTTTCCTGAGGGCAGGGCCGGAACACTATATCTACCTCCTTACGGAAGAGTGATCACAAACTGCAGATGGTGAATCCCTGGGAATCGCTGAGTTATAACAAGAGAGATGAGTGCTGTTTGTAGATTGGCTAGATAAATATACCCCTTGGTACTAGTCCTGTAGACCCTAGGACTGATTCAGTATCTCATATTGTTATGTTCAAAAGGCTAAACAATATAGCCTTTCAAAAATCGTGATGAAAGTAAGCAGAGTCTTGCAGAACTACTGAGAAAGAAATGTGAACCATGTGAGAAAGATATCTGAATCAAGCTTGCAGGCTTACTACTCTTGATGTAACGAATGGAGTATTCTTAATAAAATGATGTGATGGTTAAATTTATATGCAACTTGTTTGGGCCATGAGGTACCCAGACATTTGGTCAAACATTATTCTGGGTAAGTCTGTGAAGGTGTCTCTGAATGAGATTAACATTTGAATTGGCAGACTGAGTAAAGCCGATTATACTCTCTAATGTGGATGGGGCCTCATCCAATTAATTGAAGACCTGAATAGAACAAAAAGGCTGAGTAATAGGGAACTCTTCCTGCCTGACTGCCTGGAGCTGGGACATTGGTCTTTTCTTGCCCTTGAACCGAACTGAAACATCTACTCTTTGTAGGCCTCCTGCCTGCCTGCTTTCGGACAGGAACTCACACCATGGGCTCTCCTAGTTCTGAGGTCTTCCAACTCAGACTGGAACTAAGCCATTGACTTCCTTGGGTCTCCAGCTTGTAGACTGCAGATCTTGGGACTCCATAATCACGAGAGACAATTCCTTTTAGTAGTTTTCTTTCTCTCTCTATATAAATATATCTTATTGGTTCTGTTTCTTTGGAAAACTGACTAATACAAATGGCTAGACAGCTAAATTCCACACAAGAGGCTCATTTTCCCATTGATTCCCATTATCAAAAATTTCCAGTAGAGGGTAGAGAATTTCTATTCACTGAAATAATTTGATTTATTTTGATAAAATAATTTAACAATTTCAGATTTGACAAAGCAAACGAATTAAACTGAATTGAACTAAATGCTATAATTAAGTCTTCAGGCAACCATATGCAAGATTCCTTTTTTAATTTATCACTTTTGAACAATAATGATTCCATATATCAGTACATTATATGTTAGATGATGTTATTATAATTAATAATTATATAATAATAATTATAATAAAACTTTGGACAGATGAGTTGTTCTGTTTATAATCATCTGTTTGTATTTGTCAATCATGGAAGCAACAGATTTCTCTATTTTATGGAGGCATCTGTGACAACTGAAATGTTCTGTTTTATGGGTTTGTTCTGCAGAGAGATTAAACTAAGAATGTGAGATTTTACGAGTTGAAATAAGTATTGCAATTCTTAAAAATAAAGTAGAAATTCTAAAGAAAAGGAATACAATTAATCATTTCAGGAAAATTAATGTAGATGAATAGAAAAAGCTAGCACTTTACTTACATTTACTTTATAAAAGCTTTTTCTCCCCTTACAATGAAAAATGCTCTGGTAAGTGGGACACTTCCTATGTAAATTAAAGTATAATTTTCTTCTCAAAATTTCAATTTACATACTACTTTTCAGCAATGTGCTACAAAACAAGCGAAGTATACCTATATGAAATTAATTACCTTCTAAGGGTTTACTTTTTTGGCAGAATGAAATAACTTTAATAGCTTATCAGTGACATATTTAGATAACTTACACATGTGAATAGCCTATGAATTCACATGTGTAAGTTATTATAGTTTTAAATGCAATCTCACATTTTGAATTCTTTAAAGTTCAGATTTGATTTAATACAACTTTGTATAATGGTTCTGAAAAGGAGTCAGAGAAGTCAGCTGGTTTTAGCAAGTAACTATTGAAGCTACTGATGTTAGGTACTCTTAAACATGTAAGCAAAAATAACACTTACATGTTATGGTCTGTTACATAATGAAAGTGTAAATAAAATTTTCTCGTACTAGATGATTACTTGGATAAGATTATGATAACACATTAAAATTTTTCCAGAAATATTCTGCCTTAAGATTTTCATATATGAAGGCTGATAAACTATGAATGAAAAGCAGCTTTATTTCAGAACATTTCTGGTTGATATCAGGTTACTGACCTGTCTGATGGTCTTGGCGGTAGGACCTGGAATAATACACTCATCACTGTCAGAAGCTGATCTGTCTTCTTCATCTGTTAAAAAATAAAATTTTATTGGTTTAAATCTGTTAAACCAATTATATCTGCACCTTGTGACGTGGAGAGAAATAAGCATACATTACAAGGATAACCTTAAAAGAACAATATGGTAATCATGTCTGGATTTTTTTAGCAGTAAAGATATTTATATTACATTTTAGAAAAGAGAAAAAAATGACTGCAAAATTCTAGGTTTAGTTTTAGCAGAAACAAAGGAAATAAGAATGTAGCTTGCTCTAGTACGAAATTAAAAAAAATTTTTTTAAAGAGAAGAACATGGTAATAATGTCTAACAGCCTAACCAATACTACTGTGTCAAAATCAAGTTGTTCCTACTATTTAAAAACATTTTTAAAGGTTTTAAAGCTTTATTGCAGTAAACTGACATAAAATAAACCACACAAATTTAAAGTACAAAATCTGTATTTACATTCTGAAACTATATATTTTGACAAATATGTAATTCTGTGAAACCACCACCACAATTAAGACAGTGAACATATCTATCACCCCCCAAATTTCCTCATGCCCCCTTGTAATCTCTTTCCTTCTGCACCTTTCTATTCCCGTTCGTCCTTCCCTAGGCAACCACTTAAATGCTTTCTGTCACAACAGATTAATCTGTTTGCCTTTTCTAGATGTTTATATAAATTAAATCATGATGCAAGTTGTCTTTTATTGGTCTGAGTTCTTAGTTTTAATTTTTAAAAAGTCAAATCCTCTAGAATAACCCAGATAACAGTACTGAACCCAAAGAGGCTAAAAAGTCATTTAAAATATAAACTGGGAACATGGTCAGCCACAATACTTGCATTCTGTTGTGGTGCTCCAAGTTGAAATAAGAAGATATGCAACAATTCCACCTGACCACAGCTGACCAGACTGACTTATATATATCCCATCATTTCTGTCAAGAAACAGCTATCAGGAAGTACAGTCACTATTAAACGAAGATGTTCTATGAGGCATGCATGTGCTAACAGATTAAATAAAACAGAGTTAAGGAAATAATGTTAATTTAAAAAAGAAAGTCACCTTCTGGTTCCAGTTCTTCAGTTATTTCTGTTTCATCTTCAGAAGAAGTCAAAGTTCGTTCTGCAAGCTGACCCTCAGAGAGTAAAGACACATCATCATCTTTTCCTTGTTGTACTTTCTCTGTATTCTCTTTTACCTTATCTACACTGCTTTCCTGAGAAACCTGAAGAAATAAAAGCACGTTGATATATTATTGCTAAGATCACATTTATAGCATTCTTGCTGAAGCACCTGAATGATAATTAAGCACATAAATATGCACTACATGCACTATATATATGAGTCATTAGAAAATAATCACTTAAGCTGTATAAATGAAAATATGCAGATAAATTAAAATATGATTATAAACTAAGAATAAAAAAGCATTAATCTCAAAATGAATTTTACATTATACTTTAATTCACATATGTATTTACTACCTACTAATGTCTGCTTAATTGTAACTGTTATACTTGTGATATTTTTGACATTTCTATTCCAAGGAAGTCATATATAAAAATAGGATCAACGATATGATTTCTTGATCCATGTCAATGCAAAGACAAAGTCTTTAAAAAACAAACCTTTCAAAATAATTTTAATACAAACACATACCTCAGGAATATGTGAAACAGTTGGCATATTAATTTCTATTTCTGGTGTATGTTCCACTTCTGGTGAAATTTCCTTCATATCTTCAGGAGGAGTACAGGTCTCCTTACATTAATGTGAAAACATGCATGTATGTTACTTTGTATTTATTATTAAATCCCCAATCATGATAAGAATTTTTCACACACACACACACACACACACACACACACGCACACTTAGGATTTACTCTCTTAATAATTTTCACATATAAAATATAGTAGTGTTAATTATACTTATCATGTTGGACATGACATCCCTAGTACTTATTTATCTTATAACTGGAAGTTTGTACCTTTTGACCACCTTAATCCAATTGTCCCTCCCCCATCCCCTGCTTCTGGTAGCCAGAAATCTGATCTCTTTTTCTATGAATTTGTTTGGTTTTGAAGTATAATTGACTTACAACACTATGTTAGTTCCTGTTACATAACACAGTGATTCTCTATTTCTTTACATTTCAAAATGATCACTACAATAAGTCTAGTTATGATATGTCACCATACAAAGATACTACATAGTTACTGACTATATTCCTCACATTGTACATTTCATACCTGTGACCCATTTATTTTACAACTGGAAGTTTGTATCTCCTTTCCTCTTTCATCTATTTGTTTCTCCCCCGCTACCCCTCTCTCCTCTGGCAACCACATTTGTTCTTTCTATCTGTAACTCCGTTTCTGTTTTGTTATGTTTGTTCATTTGCTTGTTTGTTTTTTGGATAAGATCTCTTTACTTAGATACAGATTGAGAAGAGGTCTAGGTCTGAAGTTTGACTGCTGAGGTACTTCAACATTTAGAGTTATGGTCCAGGAGAATGAGAAGAATAACTGGCTAAATTGGAGGAAAACTAGGAAGGCATGGTATCCCAGAGGCCAAGAGTAAAAGGAGCAAGTATTCCATTGTGTCAAAGGTTACTGGGAGATTAAGATGGAGACTGAGAATCGGCCACTGTGAAAAGTGGCAAAGTGAAACTCACTGTGACCTTAGCAAGAGTGGCTTTAAGGAGGAAAAGTTTTACTAGTGTGAGCAAGAACAGTATGAGGAAAGGAAGATGGAATTAAGACAACTTTTTGAAGAGTTTTGTTCTGTTTTGCTTTATGGTAAATGGGGGCAGAGGATTCGGGCAGTACCTGAAGAGAGATATGGGGCCAAAGGAGGGTTCAGATCAAAGAGTAAGAACATTTAACACTTATACACAGTGCCAAATTACAAAGGTAACATTTTAAGGGAAGAAGTATTTTATTTATCTGTTTCCGTTTAAATCAGGGAGGGTATACTATATCATTTATTCCGAATATTTGTTATGGGAAAAAAAATTAGTATTTTGAGTGTTTACTACTTACAGAACACTGATGTGGTGTGATATCCACAAAAGATACCTTCTTATCTTTAGGTGTTAAACGTCTTGGTTTAGGTGTTGGTGCCTAAGATAAACCAATATGTCAAACTGAGAATGATGAACATACCTTTCAGATTTTTTTTTTCTCTTTTATGTGGCTATTTACTTTTATAGGAAATTCAAAGTCACTGTTACTCACTACAACTAGTGTGCTAACAGAGGATGCTGGAGGTAGTCTTTGAACAACTTCAGACTCTTCTTTGTGTATGAAATTCCCTAAGTCTTCAGTTGTTATGGATCCACTTGGTGGAAGGTAAGCAAATTTCCATTTCAGTATAACATGGATGCTTCCTGCAGGATGCTTTTTATGATCTGTTAACTCAAATATTCCTGTCAAATTACAAAAAGAATTTTAATTAATGCTAGAGTGAAGTTTTATTACCATAAAAATTAAAGAAGAGCAAAAAGAACTACCCACAACTTATTAAAAATAAGTCTGGCTTTTACTCACAAGTCAAATGACTTAAGAGAACAAAATAAGACAAAAGGATCTATGATAGGTTCATCTCTCAAGCAGACTGCTTTCAGAAGTTAAGGCCTCAAAGATAATACTAATTCAAAGATGAGATAATTGACTTATAAATATTTTAATTCACTGAAATTAAATTCAGAGATTCTTCAGAATTCTTAGCCTTCCTCTAAGATATTATCTGGGTTTTAGCTCAGATAACAAGCTTCATTTTGACTTGATATTCTTGTGTGTCTGTAGAAAAATATATTAAAACTTCAAAATTTCAAATAATATATGTATCCTAAGGAGTCTTTATATTACTACATAGTTCTAATTTTAAATACATTTTACTGGGATTTGTTAAATTATTCCAAATTAATAGTAACACAGCAAAAAATGTCCATAAAATAAACAAACCACCCAAAACATATAGCAGTAACAAAAAGTATCACCTAGCTGAATACATAATATTGAGTCACAAATTTTAATCATCATTCTAGAATTTTCAGTATGAAAATCCCTGACGTGAAAAAAACAAACCTATATTTCAAGCATAACTTTTGTTTATGGGTATCCATTTCTTGGTTCTCAAGTGTTTGACACTTCTTTTAATGGCTGGCTAGGAAAGAAAAAACTAAACAACTCTAGACTTTAGGTAGCAAAAAGGACACAGGTGGAATACAGGGAGGTGAGAAACTTCTACTACAGGCATAGGTGAGACTTACAGAATGGCTGAGTGAAGAGATCAGTAAATATATTCCACAAAAAGCAATGATAACACTGGATAAAATGAACAGAAATAATCATTTAAGAACTCTGGAAACTGATCAAAGGCATACAACAGATTAAGAAGCATTTATTTAAGAAAATCTACTGAACCTCAGTAAAGACAGTGGGAGTCAGAAAAGACACTAGTACGCTACTTGTCCCTGGCTGAATGTGAGACTTGTAGACTGTCTGAACTTTGAATGCATTACCCAAGCCATACACTGATCCATAGGCAAAGGGTGGAAGCCTGCCAGCTCAGGCTGTTTAAACACAACTCTCAACAACCACTGGCTGACCACTAAACTATGTTCAGGCTTAAAATTAAAACAAGAATAAAACAAGCAAACAAAAACTTAGCAGAGACATCAGTGGCTATAGTGAGGGAAAAAGACTACAGAAGTAGTCCAGGCAAGTCACCAAACAACAACAGCAACAGCAACCCTGTGGAGGGCTGGAATCTAGAGATGCTACAATATAGTGTACTAAATGTCCAATTTTAAACAAGAACAAAAATTCATGAGATATGCAAAGAAACAGGAGACAAAATGTCATCCACAGATACTTTCTGAGGGCATCCAGATGTTAGACTTAGGAGACAAAGACCTCAGAGCAGCTATTATAAATACGTTCAAAGAGCTAAAAGAAACCATATTTAAAGAATTAAAGGAAAGTGTGATGACAATGACTTATAAAACAGAGAATATAATAAAGAGATAGAAATTATAAAAAAAGAGAACTAGAATATATTGTACAACACAGGGAATACGGCCAATATTTTATAATAACTATAAATGGAGTATAACCCTTAAAAATTACAAATCACTATGTTGTATACCTATAACATATAATATTATACATCAACGATATCTCAATAAAAAAAGAGACAGTTAAAAAGGAATTCTGGAGTTAGAAAGTATAATTACTGAAATGAAAAAATTCAGTAGAGCAGCTGAGTAGGAGATATGAGCTGCAGAAGAAAGAATCAGTGAACTTGAAGATTGATCAACCGTGATTATCCAATCTGAAGAGAAAAAATGAAAAAAAATCAACAGAGCCTCAGAGACCTGTAGGACACCATTAAACATATGAACATATGTGTAACGGGAATCTAAGAAGGGGAAGAAAGGACAGAAAAAATAACTGAAGAAGTAAGGGCAGAAAATTCCCCAAATTTGGTGCATAACAGTGCCCTACACATAAAGAAGCTCAAAAGATTCCAAGTAGAATAAGCACAAAGGGATCCACACCTAAACACATTAGAGTTGAATTGTCAAAAGCCAAAAAAAAAAAAAAAAAATCTTGAAAACTGTATCATGTAGGAGGGAACCATAATAAGATTAACAGATGATTTCTCATTAGAAACAACGGATGCCAGAATCAACTGTCTGATGTACTCAAAGTGCTTAAAGAAAATAAACCTGACAACTAAGAATATGATACCCAGCAACACTACCCTTCAGAAAATAAAAGCTAAAATATAAAGACATTCCCAAATAACAATGATTAAGTGAATTCATTGCCAGCAGACCTGACTTACAAGACATACTGAAAGAGTTTCTTCAGGCTAAAAGCAAGTGACACCAGATGGTTACTCAAATCAACATGAAGGAACAGATGTGAATAAAGGTAATTACATAGGTAATTATAAAACACAGTATAAATATGTTTTTCCTCTTAACTGATTTAAAAAACAACTGCATAAAACAATAATTATAAAATTATAATCCTGGACTTATAACATGTAAAGATTAAAAAATATATGAAATAATAACACAAAAGAGGGGGAGGAAATAGAGCTATTTGGAGTAAGAAAATGACACCAGACAGTAACTGAAATCCAAATGAGGAAATAAAGAATACCAGAGATGGTAAATATGTAAGTTTTTAAAAGTCTCCTATAATTATATATATTCTCCCTTCTCTTAAAGGACAAAGTTATATAAAGCAATAATTATAACATTGTACTGTTGAGTTTATAACATATACAGGCATACTATGTACATATATATGACAACAATATCACAGAGGAGGGGGGAGGGAATGGAATTATACTGGAGCAGATTTTCTAAATTTTAACGGAGTTATTAGCATTAAGTTTGACTGTGGCAAGCTGAGGTGCATACTGTAATCCCTGGAACAACTACAATATAATAACAAAAAACAATATAATATTATGGGCCCAAAGTTTAAGATTATCTGAGAAGGCTAGGAAGATTGTTACAAACAGATCATATCCATAACACTGAGGTATAATTTAGGTGGCGTTTTTTTTTTAAAACAATTTCGTGGATTCAAGAAATAGGCTTACCTGAAATACACCTGTCATGTGCCAATGAAATCAGAGGCACATTGACTTTTCCTATGTAAATATCCTCCTGGGTATCACTATCATCAAACACATAAAAACTCAGAGACTCTGACTTAAGGTATCGATCCAAATCCATATTCATTGGCACTGGGAAACACATATGATCATCAAACTGTGGATCACTGCTACAGGGAATGATGGCTGTGTCATGGTCTGCAAAGTCAGAAAACTTGTACACAACATATGGGTGTGGCTGAAGGTGGCTTGCTCGGGACTGCAGGCGGCTGCAGCATCTTACTGTAACATGAAGTTCATTTAAGTTGCCATCTGTGGAATCAGTAGAACCGAGCTGAGCAGTTTTGGGTGCTTGCTGACTTAACTGGAAAAACATACATATTTATATCATTGTAATAATACAGTGAAAAGTAAACAACAGCTGCCAACCCCCAAACAAAATAATTTTGTAGATGGACAGAAAGCTGCAGATTTTCACTTCAAAGTGAATTTCTCAGTAAAAGACTCGACTCTTATTTAAAACCAATACTCTCTAGAACGTATGTACGGATGCTATTAGCAGCAAATATAGAAGACTGAGCATACATGTAGAGATTGCTGTTAAAACCAAATAAAGCCAAGAAAATAGTTAATCTGATGTTCTTTAATTCTATTTAATAATTAACAGGTAAAGTGAGCAGTTAGGTCCAAGACAAATGTCCCCTAGTTCACAATTTTATTAAGAGCTACTCCTTCCTTTCTGCCCGTGGACGCCGCCAGGTAAGCATCGTTGATGTCTCTCCCCTCCACTGCCGTCATGTCTAAGTCAGAGTCTCCCAAAGAGCCTGAACAGCTGCAGAAGCTCTTCATCGGAGGTTTGAGCTTTGAAACAACCGATGACAGTCTGAGGAGCCATTGTGAGCAATGGGGAGTGCTCACAGACTGTGTGGTAATGAGGGATCCAAACACCAGGTGCTCCAGAGGCTTCGGGGTTGTCACATATGCCACTGTGGAGGAGGTGGATGCGGCCATGAAGGCAAGGCCACACAAGGTGGATGGAAGAGTTGGGGAACCAAAGAGGGCCGTCTCAAGAGAAGATTCTCAAAGACCTGGTGCCCACTTAACTGTGAAAAAGATTTTTGTTGGTGGCATTAAAGAAGACACTGAAGAACATCACCTAAGAGATTATTTTGAGCAGTACGGGAAAACTGAAGTGACTGAAGTCATGACTGACCGAGGCAGTGGCAAAAAGAGAGGCTTTGCTTTCATAACCTTTGATGACCATGACTCCGTAGACAAGACTGTCATTCAGAAATACCACACTGTGAATGGCCACAACTGTGAAGTAAGGAAAGCCCTACCTAAGCAACAGATGGCTGGTGCTTCATCCAGCCAAAGAGGTCGACGTGGTTCTGGAAACTTTGGTGGTGGTCGTGGAGGGGGTTTTGGTGGGAATGACACCTTTGGTCGTGGAGGAAATTTCAGTGGCCGAGCTGGCTTTGGTGGCAGCCGCGGTGGTGATGGATATGGTGGCAGTGGGGATGGCTATAATGGGTTTGGTAACGATTGAAGCCATTTTGGAGGTGATGGAAGCTATGATGATTTTGGCAGTTACAACAATCAATCTTCAAATATTGGGCCCATGAAAGGAGGAAACTTTGGAGGCAGAAGTTCTGGCCCCTATGGTGGTGGAGGCCAATACTTTGCCAAACCACGAAACCAAGGTGGCTGTGGTGGTTCCAGCAGCAGCAGGAGCTACGGCAGTGGCAGGAGGTTTTCATTACTGCCAAGAAACAAAGCTTAGCAGGAGAGGAGAGCCAGAGAAGTGACAAGGAAGCTACAGGTTACAACAGATTTGTGAACTCAGCCAAGCAAAGTGGTGGCAGGGCCTAGATGCTACAAAGAAGACATGTTTTAGACAATACTCATGTGTATGGGCAAAAAAACTCGGGGACTGTATTTGTGACTAATGGTATAACAGGTTCTTTTAGTTTCTGTTCTGTGGAAAGTGTAAAGCATTCCAACAAACGGTTTTTTTTTTTTTTTTTTTTGGGTATTTGGGCCTCTCACTGCTGTGGCCTCTCCCACTGTGGAGCACAGGCTCCGTACGCGCAGGCCCAGCGGCCATGGCCCACGGGCCCAGCCGCTCTGCGGCATGTGGGATCTTCCCATACCGGGGCACAAACCTGTGTCCCCTGCATCGGCAGGCGGACTCCCAACCACTGCGCCACCAGGGAAGCCCCCCAACAAAGGGTTTCAATGTAGATTTTTTTGCACCCATGCTGTTGATTGCTAAATGTAACAGTCTGATCATGATGCTGAATAAATATGTCTTAAAAAAAAAAAGGAGCTACTCCTTCAACCATTCCAGTTATTCTGATCATATCGCATTCTTAAATGAGAAACCAATGAATTTGATGGTACCCACCCACAGAGATGATTTTGTTATATTTGGGTTGGGCCTCATCCTGAACCAATGTGATCTGGGGGAGCAGATACCTGAGGCCAAGGAACAAGAAAACAGAGTGAGAGATAAACATTGGAGGGGTAAAACCTTGGATTGGAAGGACATTTCAGAAGAGAGATGAGCAAAGGGAGTTGTCAGGCAGGGTCAGAAACTACTCTATGGCCCTTTTTGGGACTATTATTCAGACAGTCAGTGCACAAGTATTCTAGCAAACACCTGCATTGACTAACTGCTAAGCCTTCCATAGCTGATGTGATCTGGGACAAAGAATGTAGTGTTGCAGTGCCTTGTGGTGTTAGGTAATTCTCTACCTTCCATACAGGGACCCCTCTTTCACTGCATTTCTGAATCTGGATTGGACATCTGGAACTTTTGTTTCTAGAGAAGTTTACTGGAGAAGGAAAACAGAACTGAAGTCATAATCTCCTTGGTGGAGACATCTGGTGGTGTGGAGAGGGGAAATCTGAGAAGGGAATCACAACACTGCTTTCCCAGGGCTCGTTTGCATCCAGCTATAGAAGACTGAGTGGGAGGACTTAGAAAGTACCCCCTCCGTTTCTCCCCCCGAGTCTACCCACAAAAGCTGAAATTCCAACAGTAAATGACTCATTCAACCCATAAACTGGGAGTCTAAAACTCTTTAAACCACAAAAATTAATAAATCATGTGGTTTCTCTATCTCTAATTCCCTTTTCCATAACAGTGTTTCCCAAAGTGTGTTCTGAAGAATACTAGTCCAGAAGGATGATCTCTGGGAAACGGGTGCCATTCTTTAAGTTTCGGAATCAATGTTATACTAGTCATGGTTCTTTTAATTGAAAGTTATGGAAACTAATTCCACCCAGCAAATACAATGAAAAGAGACTTTTATATAAGGCTACAGGGTTATTTCATAGAACTGTATAGCAGAAATGTGGTTGTATCTAAGGAAGGTAATGGGACTGGAAAACTACAGGAATTTACTCTCCATCTAGTTTCCATTTTTCTCTGTATGCTTGTTCATTATTCTCCTTCCAGTCCCATTTTCTTTCCTTTGCCATTTAGCATGGTAGCAGATGGCTGTCCCACAGCTCCCAACTTTACATGTTCCAGGCATGGGGAGTCTTGCTTTCTCTTGATCTCAGAAAGCAGAATCTGATTCGCTCAGCTGGGGGCAGGTGGATATTCCTGAATCATTAGTCATAATTGGGTGGAGTGGGAGAGAACAGGATCACCAAACGTAAAGCTGGCCACTGGGGGCCCAGCCCCACGGATTAGAAGACGGCAGGTCCAAATGAAAAAAGAGAATCATGACTTGAACAGACATTCCAAAATGTTTCTACTATATTCTAACCCTTTGTTACTTAACATAAGTGTATACTTTATGCTTCCTCTTGAGATTCACGGTATACATGAGAAGCCCTGAAGTCAAGGATCCTATTGAATTCTTCTAAATTCAGTGTTTTCTGCATTTACTGGATCATGGAATTCTTTTGGAAATATGGCTATTAAGACGCCATGAAACATAGTTTGGAAAATGCTGCTCTGAGGAATTGCATTCATACTTCTAATTCTCAGGAAAAGAATATTCATTTTATATTTTACTCTGCATTTCAGAAACCTAAAAGTTTCTTAAACAGCTTGGAAGAAGTTGGAAACAGTTGGAAAAAAGGAGAATAAATGAAAGCTCAATAATAGCTATCCATTTCCTTAACAGTGGAAATTGTAACGAAAGTCACTTGATGTGTAATAATCGTATTGCAATTCTCTTTTTCGAAACTGTCCTGGATAGCACAAGGGAGTTCCTTCGTGGTAAAAGAGCAATTCTGTATCTTGACTGTGGTGGTAGTTACATGATTATATACACATGATAAAACTGCATTGAGCTCTGCTTCTTCCTACACACACACACACACACACACAAGTAGTCGTACACATGGCATGCGCACATAAGTGCATGTAAAAACTTGCAAAATCTGGATAAAGTCTGTAGCCTAGTTAATAGTACTGTACCAATATCAATTTCCTGGTTTTGATACTACACTATAGTTACATAAAATATTATAATTGGGAGAAGCTGGGTGAAGGCTACACGGGACCTCTGTACTATTTTTGCTACTTCCTGTAAGTCTATGATTATTTCAAAATAAAAAGTTAAAAAAAGCCACTTGATGGCTGTGAAAGAAAATGATTTCGGTTTAAAGCATGATAATATAAAGAAATACTATAAAATTTCTGTGTCATAAAAGGGTCGTAAAGTCAAACAAGCTTACCCATGGCATTTGCTCTGGCCCCTTAAAATTTGATGTTATATATCCCAAAGCCTTTGCCCGTTCTCGATAAAGTCGAATTGCTTGATCCATGGGAACTCTTAATCGGAACCAGTATTCTACTGTGCCAAAATTGGGGATGTCTCCTTTAGTTCCTACAAACCAATACATAACTCACTGTTAAAATAGTCCCATAAATCAAAATATATACCAGTAAAAAATACATCAATGGTATTATACATTAAAACTATAAATTTTATACTGAGTAAAATAATATATGACTTGCACAAATGATGTGTGATTGGCAAATAAGAGAGATAAAGAAAATAAAGTTACTTCTGCAAGTACGAGTTCCACCGTACATTAAATATTATTAAAAAACTATGTCAAACTATGTTTGAGGTAGCCCGGTTTATACTATTTCAATCTTTCTAAAATATAAAGAAAAATCTAAACATTGAGTTAAATACTCCACGATTCTTTCTGATGCTACTTTTTATTTTTTAACAAGTTGCACTCAATGTAGTCTGACAGATACAAAATGAAACCTCAAAATTATGAATGGAATATGAATTCAACTTTCGAGAAATCTTTGGCACCTTCCCATTTTCCTACCATGCCGTAAGTATAGGGAAAAACACCATAGCTATGCCAAATCTATACCGTATGTAATATACCCTCGCATGTCTGCCCTGCACACCCTCTTGCTGGGGTTGTAGTTGTAGTACGCCTTCTAACTCAGGCAGCTCTTTCTCTTTCTTCCTCTGTGACGATTTCCTCTAGGGCTCCCAGGAGACTTAAGAGCTCTATAGTTCCTTTGCAGAAACGAAGAAAGGTGTCCTCATTAGGGCACTGACTGCTTTGGCACAATCGGCAGTTCACCAGTCTACTTCTCCACCACACTAAGTTTTTTTTTTTTGCGGTACGCGGGCCTCTCACTGTTGTGGCCTCTCCCGTTGCGGAGCACAGGCTCCAGACGCGCAGGCTCAGCGGCCATGGCTCACGGGCCCAGCCGCTCCGAGGCATGTGGGATCTTCCGGGACTGGGGCACAAACCCGTGTCCCCTGCATCGGCAGGCGGACTCTCAACCACTGCACCACCAGGGAAGCCCCACACTAAGTTTTTTGAGGGCAAGTTCTTCTGAACCATGTGACTATATCACCTATGCAATCAATAAAATAAAATCCCTCCCCAGAACCTAAGTCACCCTCCTTCCTTTTTTCCTTGGTCACTTAAAAAAGTTTTCCTTTTTTAAATTTATGTATTTATTGAATTTTATTTTATTTATTTCCTATACAGCAGGTTCTCATTAGTTATCTATTTCATACACATCAGTGTATACATGTCAATCCCAATCGCCCAGTTCATCCCACCACCAACCCCGCTTTCCCCCCTTGGTGTCCATACGTTTGTTCTCTACATCTGTGTCTCTATTTCTGCCTTGCAAACCAGTTCATCCGCACCATTTTTCTAGATTCCGCATACATGCATTAATATACGATATTTGTTTTTCTCTTTCTGACTTACTTCACTCTGTGGGACAGTCTCTAGGTCCATCCACATCTCTACAAATGACCCAATTTCGTTTCTTTTTATGGCTGAGTAGTATTCCATTGTACATATGTGCCATATCTTTATCCATTCGTCTGTCAATGGGCATTTAGGTTGCTGCCATGACCTGGCTATTATGCACCCTCCTTTCTTCTTGAAAAGGTTTCTTCACTTGGCCTCTAGGATACTGTATACTCTTGGTTTGTCTCCCACCTCACTGGCCACTCCTTGGTTTCCTTTGCTGGCTCTTCCTCTTCTTCCTGAACTCTAAATTTTGGAGTCTCCCAAGGCTCAGTCCTTGGTCACCTTCTCTTCTTTATGTATACTCACTCTCTATGTGAAATTATCTAGGCCCAAGGCTTAAAATATATTCTGTATGCTAATGAATCCTGCTTTTATATTTCAATCTCTGACCTTCAGACTAGTATATCCAACTGTTTAGGTGACATTTCCACTTGGCTGTCTAATAGGCAGGTCAATCTTAACCTGTTCAAACACAATTCTTAGCTTTTTTCCTCAAATTTGTTCCTTGCTCAGGTCTACCTCGATAAATGGCCTCATCATTGTCCTGGTTGTTCACACCAGAAATTCTCGCCTCCTTTGCTTCCCTCATTACTCTACATTCAATTGATGAGCATGCTTTTAAGGAAGAGTTAATCAAATATACACTGAATATAACCAATTCTTATCACTACTTTCATTACCATCGTAATACAAGCCACCAACATCTTTCCACAGATTAATGCAATAGCCTGATAATGGTCCTATTTTCTTGCTTGGCCCATACAGACTGTTCTTCCCACAGCACCCAGGGTGATTTTTCTAAAACCTATGTGTGATCACGTTACTTCTCTCCTCAAAACCACCCAATGACTTGCATCACTCAGAGGAAAAAAAGTCCAAACACCTCACCATGACCCACAAGGCTCTACAGTGAGATCTGGTCCCTGCCTATTGCTTTAGTCTCATCTCTGCTCTAGCCACTGGCCTCCTTGCTGTTCCTCCAACATGGCAGGTTTGTTCCTCCCTCAGGCCTTTGTACAATACTTGCTGTTTCCTCTGCTGGAAACATTCTTCCCCTGGATCCTGACGTGGATCTTTATTCAGGTCTTTACCAATGGCACCCCGTAGGGAAGCCCTTATCTGAATTAGCAACCTTCCATCTCTCTCTTTAGCCTCTTGCTCTGATAATTTTTCTTCATATCTAATGATATGTATATATTTTTTATGGCCCATCTTCCCCTCTAGAAGGTAAGCTACATGAAGGTAGGGGCTCTGTCTTATTTACCACTGATCACTGTATTCCCAGTGCTTAGTAACAGTGATAACATGATAAGCTCCTTAAAAAACTTTGATAAATGTACTACAATTGGGCTTCCCTGGTGGCGCAGTGGTTGAGAGTTCGCCTGCCGATGCGGGGGACACGGGTTCGTGCCCGGTCCGGGAAGATCCCACATGCCGCGGAGCGGCTGCGCCCGTGAGCCATGGCCGCTGAGCCTGCGCGTCTGGAGCCTGTGCTCCGCAAAGGGAGAGGCCGCAACAGTGAGAGGCCTGCGCACCGCAAAAAAAAAAAAAAAAAGAAAAAAAAAAGAAAAAAAGTACTACAATTAATGTTTAATCAAACAAGGATATCAACATGGTAAATAAGCATTTGCACTAATAAGCTTTAAAAAATTAATAGCCATTGTACTGACATTATTAGTGACATTTAAGAGAGTCCAATCAACTGTGGGCAGCTATATCAGAATGCTGTCCTTACCCTAAAGGCACCTTGAATCTGAGAGAGAAGATACTAATGTGGAACACCATATTAATGTATAAACCAGTCAGTGCTTCAAACAGCCAAAGTTTATAAGATTGTACTCACCAACCAAACTTGCTGTGCAAAATATTCGACCGCTTTTTTCTAGAATTTCATGGAATCTCAATTGACATGCTGCGATTGTTTCATAATCTGTGCTGTAAGCCTGGTGGACCTCAAGAGTTATAGTATTTTTCTGAATGTATTGTAAGAATAAGTCATTAACATGAACGAGATATTGAGAAGTAAAGTTATATTCTGGGTGAAGGCCCCGCACTATGGGAGTTGTCTGTAGTTCAAAATCATAGAAAGCAAAGGTACAGAAGGTGACAGGCTCTTTATCTCCAGATGCCTGTAACACTTCAGAAGAAAAGGTTACTTTGTTGATATGGATTTCAAATAGGTTTTCGCCTCGTTCTAAGTGAATGGTTTCATCAAACTCATCAACGGAGTCATCTGGCGTGATTTCTGGTTTAAATTTGTACTGCTTGGTGCCATAGGCAATATCTTTTAATTGGGCTGCAAGAGAAGACACACAGTTTAGAGGTTTTAAAGTATTGACATATAAAGATACAAACTGGCTTTTGAAGTGGTAGGAAGTCTGAGTGCTTTTGGTGTATAGTCTCAATCTTAAATTCTATGACTACACTGTTTTTCTGTAAATGATACTGTATTATAAAGAAATCTATCATTTATTTTGACATCACTTATTAAAAAAATTACAACTTAAGTGGTAATACAGGTTATACCAGGGAAACAGAAAAAGAAAAAAAAAAGGCCCTTGAATGAACAGCTGAGGTAAATATTTAGATTTCACTGCTCCTTTGCCTCTGCTCTATTATCTTCTCTCCTATAAAGTCAATTTCTCTTTCTACTAGCTCCTTCCCTTCAGCTTACTAAAATATATATTTTTCTACTTTTGCGGAATGATGGATATGTTTATTATCTTGATTATAGTGATGGTTTCACAGGTGTATACATAGGCCCAAACTCACCAAATTGTGTACTTTAATAGTGTAATTTAAGGGCTTCCCTGGTGGCGCAGTGGTTGAGAACACCTGCTGATGCAGGGGACACGGGTTCGTGCCCCGGTCCGGGAAGATCCCACATGCCGTGGAGCGGCTGGGCCACTGAGCCATGGCCGCTGAGCCTGCACGTCCAGAGCCTGTGCTCCGCAGCGGGAGAGGCCACAACAGTGAGAGGCCCGCGTACCGCAAAAAAAAAAAAAAAAAAAAAAAGTGCAATTTAAAATGTGTTCATTACATTTCTAAGAAGCTGCTTTTAAAAAAGATATATATCTTTCTAGATTAGAACATTCCCTCACACCATATAGAAAAATAAACTCAAAATGGTTTAAAGACATAAATGTAAGACATGAAACCATAAACTCCTAGAAGAGAACACAGGCAGAACACTCTTTGACATGAGTTGTAGCAATATTTTTTTTAGATCTGTCTCCTAAGGCAAGAAGTAAAAGCAAAACTAAACAAACTGGACCTAATTAAACTTAAAAGCTTTTGCACAGCAAAGGAAACTATTGACAAAATGAAAAGACAACCTAGTGAATGGGAGAAAATATTTGCAAATGATGCGACCGACAACGGGTTAATATCCAAAATACATAAACACCTCATACAACCCAATATCAGAAAACCAAAAAACTCAATCGAAAAATGGGCAGAAGACCTGAACAGACATTTCTCCAAAGAAGACATACAGATGGCTGACAGGCACATGAAAAGATGCTCAACATTGCTAATTATTAGAGAAATGCAAGTGAAATTCACAATGAGATCTCACCTCACACCTGTTGGAATGACTGTCATCAAAAAGTCTACAAACAACAAATGTTGGAGAGGATATGGAGAAAAGGGAACACTTGTGCACTGTCAGTGGAAATATAAACTGGTTCAGCCACTGTGGAAAACAGTATGAAGGTTCCTCAAAAAATTAAAAATAAAACTACCATATAATCCAGCAATTCCATTCCTGGGTATATACCCAGAAAAAATGAAAACACTAATTCAAAAAGATACACGTACCCCAACGTTCACAGCAGCACTATTTATGATAGCCAAGACATGGAAGCAACCCAAGTGCCCATCAACAGATGAATGGATAAAGAAGATGTGGTGTAATACATAATGGAATATTACTCAACCATAAAAAAGAATGAAATGCTGCCATTTGCAGCAACGTGGATGGACCCAGAGAATATTATACTTAGTGAAGTAAGTCAGAGAAAGCACGTAGTGTGTGATATCACTTATATGTGGAATCTAAAAACGATACAAATGGATGTACAAGTAAAACAGAAATAGACTCACAGATATAGAAAACAAACTTGTGGTTACCAAAGGGGAGAAGGAAGAGGAGGGACAAATTAGGAGTACAGGATTAACAAACTACTATATATAAAATAGATAAACAACAAGGATATTGTATAGCACAGTGAATTACAGCCATTATCTTGTAATAACTTATAATGGAGTATAATCTATAAAAATACTGAATGACTATTCTGTGCACCTGAAACTAATAATATAAATCAACTATATTTCAATAAAAAATAAATAAAAAGGTGTATCTCTTTCTAGATACACATTTCCCCCGCCATGTTACATCCAACTTTCTAGAAAGAGTAATGTATACTTGTGTCTCCAATTCCTCATCTAACAGACACTCTTCAACTTCCTGCAAAAAGCATCTGCCTTATTTTTCTCGTGAAACTACTCTAGAAAAGGTCACCAATAACTAACCAGTTTCTAGATTGAATGGTCCTTGTGTTATTTGAGTTCTTTGCTTAATTGACACTGATGACCACATCCTCTTTTGTGAACTTTTGTGAGCTTTCATGTCCTTGTCTGCCCTGCTTCTCCTCCTACCTCTCTTATTCTTCTTTTTTTTTTTTTTGCGGTACGCGGGCCTCTCACTGCTGTGGCCTCTCCCGTTGCAGAGCACAGGCTCCGGATGCGCAGGCTCAGCGGCCATGGCTCACGGGGCCAGCCGCTCCATGGCATGTAGGATCTTCCCGGACCGGGGCACAAACCCGTGTCCCCTGCATCGGCAGGCGGACTCTCAACCACTGCGCCACCAGGGAAGCCCCTACCTCTCTTACTCTTTAAGGGTTTCTCTTTCTCTGCTAGTTTGCTGGGGTTCTGTTTTTATCCTCTTTTTAGTCTACATATTCTCATGAGTAATCACATCCCCTTTTATTTATTTGAAATATAGCTGATTTACAATGTTGTGCTAATTTATGCTGTACAGAAAAGTGACTCAGTTATACACATATATACATTCTTTTTAAAATATTCTTTTCCATTATGATTTATCCCAGGAGACTGGATATAGCTTCTTGGGCTACACATTAGGACCTTGTTGGTTATCCATTCTAAATGTAATAGTTTGCATCCACTAACCCCTAACTCCCAGTCCATCCTTCTCCCTCTCCCCCTCGGCAACCACAAATCTGTTCTCTACGTCTGTGAGTCTGTTTCTGTTTTTTAGATAGGTTAATTTGTGTCATATTTTAGACTCCAGGTGTACGTGATATCATATGGTATTTGTCTTTCTCTTTCAGACTTAACTTCACTTAGTGTGATATTCTCTAGTTGCATCCATGTTGCTGCAAGTGGCATTATTTCATCCTTTTTTATGGTTGAGTAGTATTCCATCGTATATATGTACCACATCCTCTCTATCCATTCATCTGTTGATGGACATTTAGGTTGTTTCCATGTTTTGGCTATTGTGAACAGTGCTGCTATGAACATAGGGGTGCAGGTATCTTTTTGAATTATAGTTTTGTCCAGGTATATGCCCAGGAGTGGGACTGCTGGATCATATGGTAGTTCTGTTTTTAGTTTTGTGAGGAACCTCCATACTATTTTCCATAGTGGCTGCACCAACATACATTCCCACCAACAGTGTACACGGGGTCCCTTTTCTCCACACCCTCTCCAGTGTTTGTTATCTGTAGACTTTTTTTTTTTTTTTCAGTACGCGGGCCTCTCACTGTTGTGGCCTCTCCCTTTGCGGAGCACAGGCTCCGGACGCGCAGGCTCAGCGGCCATGGCTCAGTGGTCCAGCCGCTCTGCGGCATGTGGGATCTTCCCGGACTGGGGCACGAACCTGTGTCCCCTGCATCAGCAGGCGGACTCTCAACCACTGTGCCACTAGGGAAGCCCTATCTGTAGACTTTTAAATCATGGCCATTCTGACCGGTGTGAGGCGGTACCTCACTGCAGTTTTGATTTGCATTTCTCTAATGATTAGTGATCACAACCCCTTTTATGACTTCTGTTACTATCAATATTCTGAAGACGCTCATATTTCTATTTTTAATTCAGATTTCTTTCCTCAATTCCAGACCCACACATCTAGTGGCTTGCTGAGCCCTCTATCTAGATATCCCCTAGGCACAACAAACTCAATATACCCAAAGCAGAATGGCTCATATTGTCTTCTAGTTATTTCTGTACCTTGAATTTCAAGTGATGATGTTAGCCTTCATCCAGCTGCCTAAGCTAGATATCACAGTGTCATCCTAGGTTCCCCCCCCTTTTTTTTTTTACTCCCCCCACATCTGTAGGGTCACTGCTATTCAAAAATATTTCCTAAGTCTTTAGCAAATTTGTCCCTGTCCTCTGCATCTCCACTGATGCTACCTTACTTACACCCTCAGTGTTTATTACCCAGATTATTAATGGAACCCAATTCCTTCCTTCCTTCAAATTTTACTCATTCTTCCCAATACCTATAGCATAATCTCCAAAATGAAGTTCTGGGTGTACTACTCCCTACCTTAAAAATTCCTTGGTGCTTCTCTAAGTTAATAAGGTTCAGACTCATCAGGGTGGCAAATGGGGCCTTCAGGATTTGGTTCTTATCAGCCTTAAATCCAGGTTCTTCTCCATTTACTAATCCTGAGTTCCAAACAGACAGATCCACATGCATTTTCTCAAATGAATGGCAGTGCTTCACACTTAGGGCATTTTTACCTGCTTCATCTACTTCCTGGAAAGCCTTTCATTGTTTTTACTTAGTGGTGAATTCTGTCATCTTTAAAGCCTCCAAACCTACTGTGTGGGGTCTTTCCTGAATCTTCAGGTATAAATAGGCATTCTCTCCTCAATGTTTCCTTGGTAGCTTTTGCATTTTTCTAACTTCACACTCTTCACAGTAAAGTATAACTGTCTACTTACTTGTTCACAACTTACAAGTTCTTGGAGGAAAAAGCCCGAGCTTTTTCTGTTTGTATTCTCACTGCCTAGCACTTTGCTTAGGATACATTAGGAACTTGAGCATGTTTATGGAATCAATCAATGAATTTAGGACACAGATAGAATATATTGGTAAAGACTTCGTGAGGCTTGAAAGGAATGAAAATCTCAAACTGTGTGACCTCCCTGTTATTCAGGAAAATTTCATTAAGTGAATTTTTATTGAGTACTACTTGCAATAAAAGGAACACACTGCTCTTTGGCTTTGGAAAACCCTGTTCAGTCAGATGAAGATAGTTACTGAACCCTTCTACTTAGAGCAATGGTTCTCAGAGTGTGGTCTGGGAACCCCTGAGGGTACCTGAGACTGTTCTGGAGGTCTGTGAGGTTAAAACTATTTTAAAAATAATACTAAGATGTTATTGGCCTTTTTCATTCTTAGTCTCTTACAAGTGTATAATAGAGTTTCCCAGAATCTATGTGATGTGTGATATCATAACAGATTGACTGTAGAAGCAGATATAAAAACCCAGCTGTTTTCTATTAAGACAGATGCTGAAAAGATTTGCAAAAATGTTAAGCAATTAAAAAAATTTAAAACCATGTCGCTTGTCTATTTTTTTGGTATGGAAAATATACCTATTAAAAAATAAAACTGTAATTTATGTTAACATGTAATGGGTTAATTATTATTTTAGCATGCCAAATATTTTTTAAATTTCTCATTTTTAATTTCTAACATGATAAATATCATGAATATAACCCATATAAACATAAGGCCTTTTGGATTCTCAGTGATCTTTAAGAGTGTAAAATTACTGCTGGCACAATTACTAAGCCTGCGCGTCTGGAGCCTGTGCTCCGCAACAAGAGAGGCCGCGATAGTGAGAGGCCCGCGCACCGCAATAAAGAGGGGCCCCCGCTTGCCACAACTAGAGAAAGCCCTCGCACAGAAACGAAGAGCCAACACAGCCATAAATAAATAAATAAAATTTTAAAAAAAAAGGCAAAATTCCTTAAAAAAAAAAATTACTGCTGGCATAGATCACTGAATTTAAGTACTGTATGGCAGGGAGCATGAAAGAGAGACAAAGTACTTATCACTGTAGAACTTATTATGTTGCAGTCATAGAGAATATGCAAAACTGCACCGGTGTATATAATACAATCCCTAAACATATTTTTTGAGTACATGAGAGTAAAAGTGGCAAGTGCTGAGGTAGTGTTGTTCAAAGTACAGTCTTACACCTGCATGTGAATTGCTTGGAATTATTTCTAAATGTATCAAATCAGAGACCCCAAGATCTCCAGGGGTAGGGCCCAGGAAGCTACCTTTGAAACAAGTTCCCCATGTAATTTTCTTACTTGCTAAAGTCTGAAAACCACTGTAAGGGCATTTCAAGTAGAGGGGTGGCTAGCAGTAATTGGAGCCAGCTTTCTGGCATGGGCACACATTTGCTTAGATCCTGAAGCAGGGAAGGGTATATCCTGGAGTCAGAGTAGAAAGGAGGTTCAGATGGAGCAGACAAAGCCCTGGTGGTGGGACCGAACAAGATGCATCTGACAAAGAGCAAGCCGACTTGTTTGGTTGAGATGCATAGTTTGCTTAGAAGAGAAATTAGAAATGATGTGGTTAAATTTAGTCTATGGTACTACTTTATGAAGTACTTTGAAATCTTGCCTGCAACACCGAATTCAAAAAGCAGTAGGGAATTACTAAAAATTCTTGAGTAGAAAAGTATCAGATAAAAACAGCCTTTCTGGTAACTTATTATTAGAGTTAATAAATTGGGAAAAAAAGAGCAAAAAGAAAGTATGAGTGTACATTTGGATGACATTTTCAACTGTTGTAAAAATCCACTCCTCTAGTTACTGTGGACAAAGAATTGTGCACGTTGTACCTTCTAGTTTCTGGATGCGTGCAGCCCTGATATCAAGAAGGTGGACATACTGTTCCACTCTGAGTTCATAATCTTGCTGCAAATTTTCCATCTTCTGGGTCACTGCCTCAACTTCCATCTAAAAAAATAAAGATAACAAGTTTCATTACTCAGAATTTGTTCCATTTTCATTTGTTAAAGCAACTATGATTCAAGCATTTTTTAGATCCTGGGGATACCGGGAGCTATAAGCCGTTGTTTCCTGACTTCAAAGAGCTTACAGTTTAGAAAATTATGCTTGGCAGTGTTCGTTAACCAGGAGTAAAACCCACAAAACTCTGGGTCCCTTTTCAGGAGTGGTGACCCATTTGTTAGAAGCTAATATAACAGGCGGCTGTGGCAGGACCAACTGCGGAGCGTGCCGGCATTGATGAATACGTCGCCATGATTCGTTCCCTAAAACCAGTCACTGAAAAAATTACTTGTTTTAGAACTCTTTAGTCAGGAGTATCTAGATACAAGGCTAAATTCCAGGCATGTGGTAACACATGATAATAGATCATAACAGACGCTAATACATGATACTGCTTTGAAATGTAAATCATCAGTAGAGTATTATGGGAAACCTATCCTCCCGATTTAGTGTATTATATTACCTGATAATCTTTATTAATTTTATGTTGCATAATCAGCATGTTTCTTGTCTTTTCAAGTTCTTGCACTGTTTCTGCATGAGTTGCTTGCAGCTCTTTCATGGAGCGTTCTAGATCTTTATTAATTTTACTGTCTACTTTTTCTAAAAAAGAAAGGTCTCCATTTTTTTGTGATTTTTGAGCCTAAAACAAAAACATATTTTATTACCAAAACAAGAGTTTCTAAAATGTAACTGTGAATTAATATGGATATAGTAAGAAACAATCATTAATTGAAAACAGATATATTTCCATTTTCCGTTAGGAATAAAGCAGTCCTGATATAGAATACATATTTGGATAGACACTTGGAACAATTACAGAGAAATAAAAAAAAGTTTATTACTTCACGAAGTAAAAAAGAATCATGTACGTTTATTTCTATTCTTCATTTGATTAAAATCTATACCATGATGGTCTAAAAGGAAAGAAATGTACTTTCTGTGTCTTCTTGTAAGTAACAGAATATTCTAGAACTAGAAAATATCTTCTGGTGACATATATAATTCAATATTTTACTTAAGATAATAGGGTGCACCAAGGTCTCTTAGGACAGAAAACTGCTGGTTAGTTTTATAGTGGGGCATATAAAAGTAAAATGTTTGTTACAGTTGGGGAAAGTGCTTTAAATAAGAGTTTTTGAGGTCTACTTTAATGTAATTTTGATGTCATTATGAAATATGTATATGCTGTAACTAAATGTCACCTGACCACTTTTCCTGAATAATTCATTCTCCAAGTATAAAGGTTACAATAAGGGTCATCATTATGCTGAAAGAGTTATATGTAGACATGAAATTCATGGTGAAGTTTAGAAAGTTACCTTTATAAGCAGGAGAGCTTCACTCAATTCATCAGCATTAATATCACTCTCCTGCAAAAGACAGAGTAAGTAAAAGCTCACAATGGAAAGTGCAAGAGACATTCCAACTATGTAGATTACCCTCATGGAACATAAACTGCAAGATACCATGAATTAATAAACTAAGTTATCTATTTGTATTCTTTTGCTTTGTGGTATAGTGTTTTCTTTACGTATGAAATATTTAGATAAAAATTTGGAGTTCGTTTCCTAAATGAGAAAATAGTTCACCTGGTTGTAAATTTTCATGCGGTTTTTAAGTTCATCAAGTTGTTGCTTTTGTTCCAGGTACTGTAACTGTAGTTCTCTATTTTCTTGAATGATCTTCTCATTTTGGTCTTAAAAATGAAGTCGACACAATTCGAAAGGTAAGTGAGAATGAGGTATAAGAACACATTTTAAATTGACTTAATTCATGAAACACACCAAGCTCAATCTAGCATTGTTCTGGCCACAGAGGAAATTGAGCTAGCACCTTAGACTAAGGCAGCAGGGGAATGAGGAACAAATGAACACTATCATGTGTCTACCATATGATTCACTTGCTTATCAAAAACTTAGGACTTAGTTTCACAGTATTAATACAAGGAAATTGTGGCCTCTGGAACTTCAAAGGAACATTCTATCTAAAATGCCTATGAAAATATGTTTCGAAATCTATGATTTTTACTTACTTATTAAGGGTCCTGAAAGGCATGCAAAAAAAATTTTTCTTTTAGTTTTTTCTAATTGACTTCCTTGAGTTATCTTTTCCTAATTCAGCATAAAGTCTTTTTATTAAAACAAGATAATTTCTGATAATAACTCTGGAATTATAATCAACCCCATTTTTAATAAATCTTTTAAGAGAGGAGAAATGGATTCTCAACGAGTGCATGGTAGTATCAATAATAATTCATGTGTGTTCTTTATTCACAGAGTTCACACTATTAATTAGGAATGGAGATAGGTTACCTTTGCCTATGTGCTCATTTGCCATGACCCACAAGCAGGCATATAGGGTAGAGCTACAGAAGACGGCAAATCCATAGAGAGACTAATTTTTCACTCTCTGCATTAAACATGCTTAACTCAAAAAAAAGAAAGCATAATAGCTAGCTAACAAATCTACTCTTTAGTCCTATGTTCTTAAGTGTACTTCTTTACTAGAGATCGTTGTGGTGGTCAAGTATTCTCCTTTGTGGGCTCCCTGTGGACTGACTCTAAACCATGATATCCAAAGTGTCTCTACTAATTTCATCCTGCTCACAAAGATTTATGATCATCATTCCTTTTCTTAAAAAAAGGGAAATCAACATATTTGCCAAGAATTCTTTACATGAACACATTTGCACACTGACTGCATTTTATACAAAAATATGTTTCGGACTTTTATAAAGCTTTGTGTTCACAAGCCATAAATGCTATATACAAGTAAAAACTGTAAATTACACAGTTAAGAAGAAATGAACTAAATTTGAATATTTTTAATATAACATACTTCTGGCAAACTAAAAAGTAAAAAAAAAAAAAAAGTTACCCTAGGGTATGTAGAGCCATTTTAATATCAAAAACATCAAATATGTAAATATTTTTCTTATTGATAAGAGGTTAGAAGGTTATCCTAGAGTACAAATTACTAATACTCAGTGAAATAAATGAAAGAATTTCCAAATGTGAACAATACTTGGAAATATTTAAGGTAAAGATCAAACATTTATCTCTATACTAAAAATTAGGATTAATAATAAATATGAATTCTTATGAGATAAATTTGCTTTTTTGGTTAGAGAGTAGAGTAAGAATCTGGAACCCTTTATTTGATGTTGATTAGGTTAAAACAACATCCAGATAGAATGACTAGGTAACAAAAAAGGAGGTAAATGTAGTCAGCAGGAAGTAAAACCAAGGTCCTGAGGATAATGTCATTTCCTTCTCTGGCTAGTGAAACTTTTAGGGGTTCTGAGGGGAATCACAAGTGTAAGGACATGATCGTTCCATCTTCATCCAGACGCAGTGTATATTATTCCTATGCTGTCTTCTATTCTTTCAATTTTTCAGAGCAGGGTCCTGAGAATAATATGCTACTGGTATAAATAAACTTACTCAAATATTTCTTCCTTTTCTGATTTTTCGTTCAACAGCTATGTTCCCACTTACCTGGTATTTTTAAAACCAGGGCTTTATTAGTGGGAAAATAACTTATTAGTGGGAGAAGATATTACTGAGCACCAGTAACTTTCTCTCTACTGAATTTTATGTAGAATTCTCTACTATATTTTTCCTTTCTTAAACTGTTTACTGGGGATGTCACTCCTGGGACTTTAAAACGTATGGAGACATTATAGTTCAAAGAGGAAATAGACTTGCTGAATTATAATATGAAAAATCAAAGCACCCTGTACAAGATGAAAAATAACCTCTTTACCTATGATTTGACAAAAAGCAGGTTAAGCTAAACAGCATTTTATTCAAATGAGATAACATTTCACTCTTTTAAAATTATGTTCTTCAAGCACACCATTAATAAGCAGAGTGCAGAGAACAATTCAACTAAACAATTTTCAGAGCTCCTTTGTGCTAATATCTTCAGCTGTGATCAATATAACCATATGCATTATGCTGAATTATGCATTTCAGCTAAAGATAGAAAGGAACTTTCAAAAGCAGGCCCTTAAACACATGCAGTTAATTTAAGCATTAACCAAATGCAAACTGCATTTACATATCCTTCCCCCACATATTCGCACAATCTGAAACTAATTTGTACCTTGAATAAAGAGGTGAGTATTCTCTAAAAATAATTTGCCAGTTAGATGAATGACTACAAGAAGCCAGGGAAACATCTTCTGGCAGAGAACACTTGATACATGAAAAGGTAACTGTGTGAAGAGACTTCAAAGTAAAATTAAACAATTTTGAAATCTGTAATACAAAAAAGCAACTTTCTAAATATTAAAAGATTTCCTTAAATAGACAACTTCAATTTTTTGTTTAGTATTTTCCTGGAAAAAATTGTTTAAAGGCTGTATTATTTTTCTTAAAATCTATTTTAACATTTTCACAAAGAAACAAAAACTGAAATTATCAGACCTGTAAATTTCAGGTATGCAAGCAAAAATAACTAAAATAATAGTTGCATTAAAAAGAAAGATTCAGTTCTAGCAATTTTTCTTAAAATAATCAGATAAATGTGTAAAGATTTGTGTAGAAAGATGTTCAGGGTACTTAAAAAAGCTGAAGCTATTTAAAAATTCAACAATAGAAGACTGTTAAACAAACAATCTATGGTACATCCTCACACTGGAAAACTATGACAGCCATTATAAATGATGATGATGCAGATTTATATTTATACTGAAGGAACGATTTCACAATACAGCAAATAAAAAAGCACATTATAAAATTGTATGTATACATATAGAAACAACTCTGGAAGGACATATATAAAAATATTAATAGTGATTACGTTGAGGGCTGTGGGACTGAAAAGAACCCCCAGACTTAATCCAACAGTAATAAACAGGTTTTAAAAGACCACCAAGATTCTATCCTCTTAAGAGTTTCTTACCAGAGACCAATTCAAATGTGTAAAGATAAGAGTTTTGGAATTTTTGATATCTAGGGAAGTACAGAAAGCACGGGAACAAGAAAGGTTTATTTCATTTCTCTTTCCTCAAGAAAGAAAAGAGAGAGGAAATACAGAGCCCTTCCACGTCGGTGGAAGAATTTATTGAGCAACTACTAAACAAAGCACTCTGATAGGTATTCAACACTACATATTAAAGTTAGGAACTAAGAATCTTTGACATAAAAACTTTAAAATATCCACCCAGTCAGAAATCATATCATTTTATTCTACTCACAGTCTTCTGGAGAAAATTTCATAAACTGTCTGTCATCATTTAAACCACTTGGTAAATAAATACTGCACGTATATTTCATTGAAATTAAGACCCCATTGATTATAAGATGTGTTCCAATTTCAGACTTCTTAAAATGTTAAAAAAAGTTACACCATAATTTAAAAAATGTTATCACCTACAAGATGCTTCCCAATTTCAGAGATATTAAAATGGGAAAAAAATCTTCTTAGAGTTAACGAAATATGGCATTGTGATCTAAATCAATATAGAGAGTACTGACTAGATATGTAATTGTTTTTTTAACTGAGTCTGCATTAAACTTTTACACGTTCTCATGCAACTGAACTGCCAAGTGTTCAAAAGGAGCAACCTCATTATCACATCGTTGGGTTTACCTACTGGCTGAGCAAACAGATGCAACACTTGGAGCAATTAATTCACTTCCCTGATTGTGCATTTGTGTGTATATGTGTGTATAATATAGTAGAGCAGACATCTACTTTAATTATATAATTATTTTACTTCTGTGAGACAAGAAAGGTGAGATCTGGGACTCATAACATGTAACTTATTAATGATTATTATTTTAGCAGGGACATCTTGACAAGGCTTCTTTATTTAAGTTCTCTGTCACGGAGCAGAATTAGCCATCTCACTATCAGATCAAAAACAGCCAAGCAAGACTTCTGCCGTCCTCCGCTGTCTTACACTGCCTTTTTTTTTTTTTCCTCTACTGCACCTGCCACCACCTGGTGTATCACATATTTATTTAATTACTGTCAGTTTCTCCCTCTTGAATTTATGCTGCATGAGGACCAGGTCTTTGTTTTATTCATTGCTGTATCCCCAGAACTTAGAATAGTGCCTAGCACATACTGGTGCTTAATAAACACTTGTTGACTCTTGAATAAATTCAGGAAAATTAAACAAATTAAAGACAACCTGAACAAGAGTAACTCTGAGAAAAAAATAATTCCTTTGGCATATACACTAAGCTGAGTAAAGGGAAATTTTGAGCAATCAATACACTCATAAAAGTGGATGACTGTTAATATAGGCTGTGTCCCTAAAAGCAGCAAGGTGCCTGGCAAAACAGTAGGCGCTGTAATAAGTACTTATCAAGTCAGTGAATAACAATGAGTAACACGCATGTCTGAAACGAGTAAGTCAGTAGTCATTTTACATGTACCTCTTTCAGTTTTTAATCTGTCAAGGATTTCAGTTTTGTCTGTTAAATCGGATTTTAAGGCAGTCTCGAGTTGAGCAATCTGTACTTTCAGCTGCTGTTCCTTTAACTTCCATTGCTCTTCATGGGCAGCACTGAAGGCACTGCAAAACACACGTGACAGGCAAGGAGAGCTTGGAAATCAGCTTCAACCGAAAATAATAAAGAGAAAAGCTTTTAGTGGCACAGAGACCACTGTCATCATGTCTTAGGAATTAAGTAAACATATGCTGGTCTGCTGCTGTTGAAACCAAGGCGCCTTTCTCAGGCTGCGGTTAGGCAACATGAAAGAGTTTGTGGGATGAGCAAAGGAACTGGCCTTAATTTAGAGCTCTAAAGTCAGAGAAGTTGGCAGTGTGCAGCTTTTGTGGGACTAGTAAAGGAATTCAGATACTGTACATACTCCAGAGGAATCCACAGTTCCAAACCTCAGCAGCAGACATCGGACAAAACCATTCTCTACCACGAATAAACCCTAATACAGAGAAAAGGGACTCCCCACCTGATCTTTAATTCCAGAATTTGAAACTTTTAAAGAGTCTGTGATAATAGCATATTTACAAAATACTGGCCACAAAATGATAGCATTTTGAATTACAAGACGGCGATTCTGATATTAAGAAGCAATGGTCATGCAGTTTTTGTCCTAAAAAGCAAACAGCAATAGGCTAAGAACAAACGGTTTTACTCATAACGCATGACTGGGGTGAAAACCCAGTAAGAACACCTTGATAAGAATGATGTAGATAGAATTATTATTCCTCAATAAAAGTGTAGCAGTTTAAACTATCATGAAAATCTACTAATGATCAGCCCCGGGATTTTGGAAGAATCAGCTGAAAAATAACTAAATGGTACGCAGAAGCTATAGAGTAAACATTCGTTTAGGCCAGTGGTTCCCAAATGCTGGCCTACGTGAAACACTGGTGCTAGGTTAAAAATGCAGATTCTGGGGCCCAGGGATTCATAGTTTTCCCCAGGTGATAGCCAGGTTTTGGAAAAACTGATCTTGATCTGTACTTCAGCAGAAAACTATTAGCTGTGAAGCTTGACATGACTGAATAATTATCAGCAGCTTTGACCCTTCTACTCATTTTAAACCCAGTAAAGGAACCAGAAATTTACAAAATCTGGTTTTGTACTGATGATGAAGTAAATGGAAAAGAAACTTCTTATTGAAAATTGCCCTTAATGTTGCTCCCAGCTAGTCTGAGGTTTTAGTCCAAAAGAGATACTTTTCTGGGAGGCATAGCTTTCAAAAGAACAAAAAACTGTATATTTATTTTACAGTCTGAATGTTTCTACTGCATTTAAAATAACACGACCTTAAAAATAAATGGAATTCTAGAAGTTTCTCTAAATATGACATCTGTTTCTTCAATCAGTGTTCTCATTTCATGTATGGAACCTTAAAAAAATACATGGATCTGGTATACCAATGTTTTAAGCTAATTTTATCAAAGGTAGAGTTACCTAGGTTTAAATGAAATCCAAATATGTACTTTAAATACTAAAGTAAAGAATATTCCCTTACATTTTCATTTTTTGATAAAGGACAAATATATTTCAAAGTATATATACCAAACACGTACACATGTATACATACATGTGAGTGTATATGTGTGTGTGTGTGTCTCTTATTATTAAAAGTATGTACTACCCGGAAAAAAAATTAGCATGATGAAATAGGCACAACCATACATTATATCAGCCGCTAAAAATTAGAAACAGTAGTGTTCCAACAGCATTAGTACCAGCAAAAAAGATCACCAACAGTTAATCTGGCAGAAACATCAGAAGCTGTATGTGTTTAAATTAAGAACAATTTAGCAGCCTGGTTTTTCCAAACCCACAAAATACTAGTGTAAATCAGCATAAGTCACTCTGAATTTAGTCCACTGCTATCTTCCCTCTAAATTTAGGATTACATTCCACTGGAGTTTCACGAGGAATTCCTTTTGAATTTACTGTATTCCTCTATGCTTGGAGCCATCTGTGTAACTATAAATGGTAAACCACATCTGGCTCCATTTTCTTTGTAGAGGCTGTGTACATGATTAAATCTGCATATGAGAGCAGTCTTTGAGAACCTTTTATTCATGAAAATGTTTTTGTACATTGCCTACAGTGACAACTGAGGAGGGGATCATAGCTGGTCTTTGTGCACATTTCATTGTTACATTATGTTGCTGGAGTGATAAAATATCAATCTGCAGTGGAATGCCCATTGGTTCCTGTGGTCATTGGCATGTCCATTGGCAGTCATGGGTCAGCATACTGTAAATACACACCCTCGATCAACAACATGATAAGATAAAAAAAAAAGAGTTGAAGAATTCATCTCCACCGTAAGGTCTTTTTTCTTACAGAATGAATTCCTTTTATTCCAATGTTCAAGGCTACCCTAATGTGAGAGATAGGGAAGAATAAGCTCTAATCATCCATAAAGAAATCCGTAGGTACCTTAGTTAGGCCTAGTGGAAATTAAATGCATATTAACATGGGGATATTTCACTTACTAAAGGAAAAACGATGCCCCAAATGTACTCAGTTTGATTTCTGGGAAGCACAAAGTGCTCATTTAGGATCATATGAGCTTTCATGTCTCCTAGAATATTGTAGGGGACAGGTGTTCGCGTTACAGCAGCGGTCCCCAACCTTTTTGGCACCAGGGACTGGTTTCGTGGAAGACAATTTTTCCACGGACAGGGGTGGGGGGTGGATGGTTCAGGCGGAAATGTGAGCGATGGGGAGCTGCAGACGAAGATTCACTCGCTCCCTGCCGCTCACCTCCCACTGTGCGGCCTGGCTCCTAACAGGGGGTTGGGGATCCCTGCTTTACAGAAATGGAGCACAGAGAGTCTATGGGTGGTCAGCAGTGCTCGCTTCAATTTTGGATATTAGATGGCTATCACATTGTAAAAACCTGAATCATCCAATTCTTAAAACAGTTAATATCATCTTCAAAAACTGGACCAACTCTTCTTTTAAATAGTTATTAGATGAGTGTCTCTCAGGGAGTTAATACCTTAAAATCACCTTTAACAAGAGTCTCTGGATTCAAACTCAAATTGACTGAGTCTGAATTGGATGGTATTGGGGGATGGGGAGGAGGGAAGGTGGGGAGGTTTCACAGGGCTGGTGAAGCCTCCATTTTACTGTTTTCCAAGTTACTGATATACATTAGAGTTGAAGGACTACTGCATTCATCAGCTGTATCACCCTAAAACTATATACTAACTTCAAAAATGAGACCCAGCTGTACTATATTATAGTATAGAATTTCTCTCTGACCAAATAGAAAGACTTAATTGCAAAAATTTTATTCTGAGTTTTTTAAATGAACATTTCTTAAAGTTATACTTATTTCTTGGCATAGTATCAAACATGCTATAACGTATTAAAAAAGGCTCATACCAAATACTAACATGAAGATTTTACCTTACCAGATGATTCTCTAATATGTCATATGTCAAATAATAAACACATTAAAAATATCATTTGAAAAAGGAAGATGAGAATGCAATCTGCACGTCACATTTTTCTCCTGAAAACTAGCCAATTTTGAATAACAAACAAATGCTCTCCTTTTAAAAACATGCTATCACTATGACTAACCAAACAGGGAATATATGCAGTTTGTGATGAGCATTAGTTACTGGCAATGATGAATAACACTGCCATGAAATACAAGAGCTGTAAAGAATCTTGGGGAGGATGTTAATTTTTGTAGAGTTTTTCCAATTATGCTTCTGAAAACACATTATATATTTAAAAAACTGTATTAGAGAATTTTACAGCTCTATTTACTATCACATGTGCTTGCCGGGTTTCGTACCTAAGTGACATTTTTTTTTGACACAAATGTTTTGACACTCATTATACACATTTACTTCCATACACCTCACACAAAACTCAAGTGTAAGCAGCGTGATGAAGTCTGTTCTTAATGTGACAGGAAAAAAAAGGTTGCTCAAACGCAAAACATTAAAAATAAAAACCTTTCAAAGTCAGATTTACACTCTTAGGTCATCTTCTAATATGGAAAGATAAAGTTTCATGGTGATAAACTAAATATGAGAAAAACATGTCTTTCTTAAAATTTCATTTATGCATTATTCCCAACTAAGTTTAATGTTTTTTATTACAAGAAAGTACTTTCAGTAAATCCTCAAATTGAGGGGAAGTAGAAAATGTATAAGTAATGACCAAATGGCACTTATATTCATGTATTAAGACCATGTTAAATTACTTGAAATTACAAGATGTTAAGATAAATATAAATCAATAAAAATTTCTAAATGTGTGACAGTCCTGTTATTCCATGAATGTTTCCCTTTGCATATACAATTTTCCATTGCAATTAAAATCAGAGATAGGCACAGAGAAAAAAAAATTCAAGTTTTAGAGTCGAAAGAAATGGGTTTTAGTCCTGTACTGCAGTCTCAGCAATGCTGTGTGACTCTGTAAAAGTCTCTTAATTTTTCTTGAGTCTCAATTCCCTCATTTATAAGATATGGGGATAACATTATTTTCTCTGCCATATAATATGGTGGTGGTGTGATCTCTCCATATAATGAAATTTTAAAATTTCAAACATACAACTGCGATCTACTTAGGTATATATCACTATAAACCTATGCATTGTTCTATAGAGACAGAAATACCATAAAATAGGAGGTATAATAAATGCTTTAGGTAAAATTAATCGGGGCTGACGAGAGTGGGACCAGAACAAAGCACTGAGGCCAAATGATCTGGGAGGGGGCGCAAGGCAAATTCCACATAAAGCTGTTTAGCCAGTCTATCCTTGCTGGAGAGCCCAAGACGTTACTTTAACTGAGGTCTCAAACCGCTATTGGTAACCCTTAATATAATGAGCCCCTGTGCAAATATAATCAACACTAGTATAAGCACCATACATGATACATACCTCTGGAATGATGCGTAACATTAATTTAGTTATCTTTTCAAAGTAAATCAAAATAAAGGCCTCTCCCTACATTCTTCGGTATAATTTGTTTAATTCATAAAATGTAAATTTAGTTTGCAAAACATACCAAACGTAAAACATAGTTAAAAAGTTAAAGATATAACTGTAGATCAGATGGCTATTTTCTGATGTTTCTGAATATGATCAGTTAGAAGCAACTGTTGAATATCAGCTCTAACATATATATTTCAATATATATAAAATTTACTTTCATGTAAACCTGTATTTATCATTTATCAGTATCATACACTGAAAAGACTTAAAAATACACACACATCTGTATCATTTAAGTAAACTTAGCTGGAGAGTAGAATTCTGTTTCTAACATTACCAGAAGGGATTAATTTTTAAAATACCATAATTATGAAGCAGATAAAAAAAGAAAAGTAAAGCAGCTCTTTAAAATTCATCTTAAGATAAAGATGCGTGTGTTTTTTGTTTTAAGAAATAGAAAAAATTGTAAGCGAATACCTTTGCTTTCCACCAACAGAATCACACGAAGCTAATAGGCTGGGTAGCCCAGCAGAAGAAACAAGGGCTTGGAGAGACCAGAAGAGGTTCAAATACAATCTCTACTACTTCCCAGCTTTACAAACATAGGCAAATTTACTTAATTCTGTTTTATTTTCATTGTCTGCAAAATGGGCATTAATAATACCTACATTTCCAAGTTGTTGTGAGGAATTTATAACGACGTATGCAGAGTATTTAGCATAGTGCCTGCTAGCTTACAGTTTGCATTCAATAAATGATAGCAGTTGTTACTGACAACAAAGTGATAATGGTTTTCTTAGTAACAGACTGCTGCTCAGGTTAAAGAACTTATTACCAACCTCTTAAAAAAGTTTATTTTTCTTTTATAACATATATAGATTTCTTGCAATCATCTGTTGCTAATTCTTTAATCAATATTAGGTATTCTGATATCCAATGTTTTGATAGAAAAGATCTCAAATAAGAGGAGAGAACATATGGAATCATGATTTACCTGTTATAAAGTTTATCATAGTTTTCCTTTAAAAGTTCCCGTTCCTTTTCTAAATCATTAATTCTATCCTGCAGCTGAAATGAAAAGAAAATTACACATTAGGTGTATAAAACCACGTGGGGATTAAAAAAAACATGTGAGGGGGCGAACATGTCTTGATTTCTAAATTGCAGCCGTGAACTAGTCCACTTATATCATCTGTATTTAATTTAGCATTGTTTTTCTTCCAAGTTGTTAAGTAAACATGAAATTAATATTTCTGTTTTAATTTAGTAGGAACGTATGCACTGCTTTATGGCAACATGTACCAAAATTCAATAAAGAACGTGTTAAAAGCTTGCTATTAAGTTTGGGGAAACATAATATTTTTTACTGTCTTCTGCGATGAATTCCATCATTATATTCATTTTGTGTTAATTTCCAGTTGGCCCCCCAAAATAAAAGGATTAACTTTTCTTTTGGTTCGTGGTTCAAACAACTTGTGTCAATCACTATTTACTCTGAAAACACAACTTCTCATGTTACTTGGAATTTACAAAGAGCCAGTAGTACATCTTTCAAATGAATGAATAAATAAAATCGTATACCTTGTTTTATCCCAATGAATAATATTTTTAGAAATAAACTCAGGGTAATAATTATATCTTGATAACTAAAATGTAGCTTTTTGTATTTATTTCTAGTATTTAAGTTTCATTCACCAGTATATTTTGTTGTTACAACCTTTTCCCATGGATCAGAGTACTCTTAAAATTCATTCTCTTCTCAAAATTCTTTTGATGCCAGTGTGAGACACCGTAAAAGATTCTTCCAAGATGAGAACAGAATGTAGACATCTTATTTCATTTCCATTCTGTTTAAGGACAAGTTTAACAGACTGCAGAAAAAGACTGCGCTAGCTGGGAAACATGAGAAGCAACATGAATAGGAAGATGAGTTTTGAAACAACTTTCTAGAAAAAAAAAAATTCTCAAAATTGCTGATGTTGGAGGGCAGAACATCCTTCTCCTTAGAGACAGATCTATTCCTATAATTGTTCTGACATCTCAAATGACTAATAAGCTGTTAAGGCTGAGAAAGTTAAGTTCCTCAGGTAATCTGGCATTTGTTCGTTTAAAAATGTTATGGTTTGCTGTCTCCTCCAGGATCCTTAATCCTTTAGATAAATAGTGGATCTCAGCACGTTTGCGAGTATTTTTAAGTACCGATTTGCCATGCACATAATATACTGACTATATTTTGCTGTGCTCAAAGTGCCATGCATGTAGTTTAGGATTTTTAAGTCAATATAATATTTAAAATGTCTCTATTTTACTTTTTCAAAATAGTTACAGAGAAGTGTTAATGCAAAGGAATGGCTAAACTTTTTGGGAGCTTACCTCTTCTATTCTTCTTTCAGAAAATGTCATGGAACGTAACTGCTTCTCAAGAGTGCAGCATTTTAAACGCTGCTCTTTAAGCTGCATGTTTAGCTCATCTCCATTTGCCATCAAGGCATCATGGCTGATCCGGAGAGTTTTTTGCTTCTAAAAAACAAAAGGAAAATCCTTTCAAAACTATTTTTGGATTCTGCTTTGAATGAATGATCACCATTCCATAAATGAGTTTACTCCTGAAGTCCATGTTATAGTGTTTATTCTTTATCTCACAATGTATATATGCTACTATATTAATGTGCCATTATACAGTGTATAATGTCTCCATAAAGGATACTCTTGGCCAAAGTGTATCATGAGGAAGAAAATATTTTAGCAGAGTCACACAATGTAGGCTGTTTTTTTCCTTTATTTTATTTCCTCCTAGTTTTCTGACTTGTTGATAGTGACCAGTGAGTAAATTAGTTTTAGCAAGTAATTATTTTTTCTTTTTGCTGTGGTTACAGTGGTTGGACATGCTGTCTAAAAATGCTGCTGCATGGGTTAAAAATAAATGCTGACCATAGATATTCAAACTGAAAAGATCTGTCACCACACCATATAAATAGCCTTGGAAGGTTAGCTTCTAATTGTAATACAATTAAGAATTTCAATTCAGTAAAATAGTTACTGGAGTCTTCTTAATTTTCAAAATTGACCTATTTATGAATATGTTTTAAATTCAATTTTACATACTTACACTAAAGTCTTTTCATAGAGTCCATATGACCATAACATGTAATGCCTTATCTGCTAATTAAAATCATTAAATTTCTATTGAAGTTCTTCAATTGTTTAAAAGAAACATGGCTATTGAGCTACTTGAGTCCAATTTTTGTTAATCTTGCTTAAAATCACAGAACAGTATCTTTAACCAGCTTTCTCTGTGCTTCATATCTCGGTGAAGCTGTTGGCCTGAACCTCTCAAATCTCTACCCAAAAGAGGTACCTGTGCTATCAAAGACACTTGATATTCATGGTATTTAAACAAACACCTGGAGTCACTGTTAAATGGAAATCAAAACAGTCAAAGTGATAAAAGAATGCAAAATCACTTTTTAATTCCTTTCTTAATGCTGCCTTTTAGAGATGGCTTTCAGCTACATGTATTTTTAATCTCCCTCTTCCATCCATCTGCAGATAGAGTTATCAATCCCACTCTCTAATTAATCTCTCTTTCACATACCCGTCATATTTATATGGAAGGTAGTGTATTACTTGACATTAAGGAGGTACCTGTAGGATGGAAAACATGACCCAGAGTATGGTTGAAAAATATTTATCTAATTCAATAGTGAATTTAGGCTTCAGATGACCCGCTTTGCATCAATTTACCGCTTTCCTTGTTTCAGTACTTCAAAGAAAGTACTGCTTAATATGAATTCTGCTCATCTGGAATGTTTTGGAGTTCATTAATTCCAGAACCTATGTTAATTACGCAGTGCCAATAAACAGGAGTCCTCTGATGGCACATTCCTGTGCGGCCATAGTCCTTGGTAAAATAACCATGGGGATAAGAGTCTCAAGTACTGTCAACCGAAAGGTTAGGATTTAAAATAAATACACTGACAGTCGACGTGAGGGGTATTCAAATATTTTCTGATACTGGTAGTGACAAAACAAAACAAAACACCACATATCAAAAAAGATTTAACAAAACTTGATTATTAATCTATTCTTAACATTGATCTATCTTGGATATTTCAAAATGCTTAGAACTGAAGATATATGCAAATACATCTAAACCTTCAGTGTTATGTGCCCATATGATTCCAGATAAAAGGAGTTAAAAATAAATTTTCTTCACCTGAGATGCTTTATGATAAATGTGTTTATTATTTTAAGATGACACAGATATTTATAGAAAGTCCAAGCAGTTAGTTATTTCTTTAGTTATTAAGTTATAAATAGCTAACCATACAGGAAGTGAAATTATACACACTTGAGAATAAAAAGAGCAATCTTTAAAAACTACTTTTTAGTGTTACGACCATTCTACTTAAAAAGTTGAACACTATTTTCGAACCTTTGTATCTATGTATCACCATAATAAAATAAATTATCACGGTACCTCTTGAAGCTGAATAAATTTTCCTTCCATTACTGAAAGAGCATTGCTTTTCTCCACTAGCTGCTTATGAAGCTTAATCATTTCTACGTTGTCCCGAATGTTTGACCTTCAATGACGTATTTAAGAAAAAGAGAGAGACAGAATAAAAAATGCAAGACAAAAGGAAAAAAATCTGTGGTGGGAGTATAATTTTTCATTGAATGTTACATAGAAAAAAATTTACACACTTGCATATCAGTCACTGAGGTTTTTAGTTTATTATACACTTAGGATGGACTTATTATTTAAAACAAACCAGTAGTCATTCTTGAACTTTGATAAATGCACAGACTCTCAGAGTTTGAAGGGAGCCCCAAATTTGATGACTTTTGTCACTTCCACAATGACTGATAATATGAATTTAATATCATTTTATAGTGTCCTGAAACTTGGTACAGAGGACATCAGTCAGCCATTGTTCCACCACCAAACTTCAGACTTATTTGAAGGAGGACTATCATACTCTTTTTCACTAAATGAAAAATATGCCATACAGCCACTCATCTTCCCACCACTCCCTCAAAACAAATGGTATCATAAGATTACCATTTATTGGAGTTTCCTCCTGGAGTTCAGGCTTTTCAAAATATTTCCAGAAAAAGTGACTTAGCATTTTATACTAATAATGCCCAAAGCTGGCATTTAAATATGTTGCAGATGTGCCTTTAGCTGTAAGAGATCATTTAACGTCCACAGGGTATATAGAAACTCTATATGCTGCAATACTAGTTTGTATTTTTCCTACAGAGATTAAAGCAAATGTACAATTTAACAGGAAGATCTTGTTAAAGGTTAATCATAGATCTAAATGAATACCTGTTTTCAAAAGGCATTTATTTTCCTGACAGAGAAAGGTTCCTTAATTTAATACATTTTACATTCAAAAGTATTTTAAAAATTGTGAAGCTTGGTTTTAGGCTTCATTTTCTAAGAAAAATAAACATAAAAATTTTAAGTTCAGAAAATTATTTCAGTATTTAAAGTAAGTAATTTTACTTCCAAAACTTATCTAGTACACACATATTGGAAAAATTGTCACAACGCCCTACTGGAACCAGAAAATGGACTACAAAGCTCACACATCTGTAAACCAGCTGAGGACCTGAAATACTTAATTTTCCTCTTTGATATTTGAAAGTTCATTGTATTTTGGCATCGAACAGTTAGTTGTCCTCACACAGAAGATAAACAAGTCCAAGAACCTGGATCTTGCCCAGGTACAGTCTTAACACAATGTTAAAATAATTATGTGTCTACAACATGTTATCTAGTAGTACTGAGCACACATTCAACAGTACACTCACCAATATTCCCCTCAGCATTATTTTTACTCACTAAGAAAAAAAAAAAAAAAGATGAAGGGAAAATGTATTTTGAATAGATCTCAAGAAAATATTCATATTTTTTCATATTTATTAGTCAAAATAGAACTTACCTGTTTTCCCCAGAATTACTTGGTTTGACTGCTCAACAGTGAGTGACATTTATTGATACAAAAGGTTAGAATACTATTCAAGTAATTTCAAACCTCTTCTTACGTTTTCAGCTGTACCTGATATTTTACTTTACTTGTTTTTAAGCACGTTAGTATTTTCAAAAAGATATATACATGAGATATGTTTGAATAGTAACTATTACTTGATGACATTAACAAAAAATTAAGCCCAACAAGGCTTTCAGTCACATAGGGTCATAGAAACAGCAGGTTTTAATTTTTAATTTTCTTTGTAAGGCAAAGGCCAGTAAGTTGCAAAAACTTTCAGTGGTCTAATTGGTGGATGCTTTCTTGAATATTTTCCTAAAGTCCTCGGAGTTTAAACTTTTCAGAATATTGACTTAGTATTTTATACTAATGATGCCCAAAGAGTGGGCACAGATACAACAGAAGTAGTATTTATAAAAGAGCAATAACAATGCAGTACTTTAAATAAAAAGTCAGTTCGCTAGAGAGTACACCTATTTTGGGATGACACAACACCTGCAAGTCTTTAACAATTATTTTAAAGTGTCAGTTTTAGGGCTTCTATACATAATAGTCATTATTATGATGGGATATTTTTGATGGCAACAATGCTGTTAAGCTGAAAGTGCAGAGTCAATGACATAAAGTACATAAAAGTTAAAAGCAACATTGTGATGAATGTGGCCTGGTCTTCAGGAAGGTGTGCAATGAAAAATCATCTGAAACCTGCCAATCAACATTTTTACACAGATGAAATATGGTAAAACAACAAGGGTGTACGTGAGAGAGGAAAGAGGGAAGGAGCTGTCACAGAAAAGTGAGAAGGATGTTGGAGGCAAGAGGGAGCTAGAGTCATTGCTAAGTGGCCTGTCCTAGACCTCTCTGCATGTGAAGGAAGGCCTCAGGTTGGTTTCCTCTGAAGAAGAGACAGGGCTAATTTTATGAGCAATATTTTATGTGACCTCCACATAGTATTTTCCTGCCCTGTTCCATGCACTATAAACAGATAGAACAATGCATAGTAAAAACATTCAGATGAACTCTGATGGTCATGTACCAATTCATATATGCTGCATTATACATGGTGAAACGATCTGCAAAGGGATATCAAGCATACTAATTAAGTGCTTTGTAAAAACAAATTTCTCATATTTTTCAACAAGGATTTTGAAAAACACTATAAAAAATTAAGTTGGAAAATGTGGTTTTTTTTTCTTTTCCTTTTTTAACAGACATTATTTAGAATTATGCTCAAATCTTCTAAAACTATGAGAAGAGCTGTTGGCCCATCTCTAAGATTAAAAACAAACTGAAATAAATTAGATTTTATCTTGAAAAAAAGTAATCCAGCTCAAAAACCTATGTGCCAAGTTTCTCTCATATAATTTGAAACAGTCAAGCAATAAGCTCTGAAAGAGGAATTTCTAATGGAAGTCTTGAAAACACTTGACTCCAGCTTTGCTACTGGGTGCCATAATAAATCCAGAAACTTAAAACCTCAGATATACTGAAGAAGGAAAAACTTTCAGTGGTGCTATGTAATGTATAGTCTAATATGAAAGCTTAAGAAGCCAAAATCTTTGCTCCAGTGAAAGTTTCTAATACTTCATTTCCCAGGCACACAATTCCTCCCTGCCGCAACCCCCATCAACATTTCATTCTTTGCTGCAGTAAGGATTATGAATGCTAAAAAAAGCTTCTTGATTTTTTTGAGGCAAAAAATGTTGTAATATAGTACTTTAACACCATTTAGAAGGGAAGGTTTTAGAATACAAAAGTTGTTAGGTAAGATATTTATGAGGTAGAACGAAGAGGTTCTTTTTGAGTAACAGTTTTAGGGTAACTAACTTTGGGGGATAAGGTTGAAAACAATCTTAGGATTAAAAAAAACTCTACGCTTTTTTTTTTGGGGGGGGAACAGTGGCAGACTCTCAGTATATCGTTGAGAGAAGTGTAGGTCATTCATAGCTCTTATTAGGGATACACAGATAACAATAAGGTATCACTTATGAATAGAATTATATGAGGTTGCTAGTGAATTAAATGGAATAAGCTTCACTAAAATAGCCAAGTAAAGTCTATTTGAAAGGTAATGACTTTGCTCAAAACTGCTGCTTTAGTTCACAGATGAAAATAATGCTCCCTGATTTAAGATTGCATAAAGGAAAACGTTTGTATGTGTATGTTTATTTGCCTCTGGATTGTATCTTTCTTGTGGTGTTGGGTCAAAATGTAAATCAGAACTCAATATTTTCTTATTCTTAAACACTCGCGAGGAATGGAGGGGGACAGTTATGTAGAGCTTTCTACATGTACATAATCTCTCTACATGTACATAAACTCTTCTGAAAATGGAGGGAGCATTCCCAAGGACTGGTTGGGGACAGGAAGAACCCAAATCCTGGCTCATCTTCTTAAGGGGCCATTTTGAAGATCAAGTTTAATGGATTCTGACTAGTAATGGGAATTTGAGAATTATATTAAAAATATCAAAAAGCCCAATGAGAAATGTAGACTCACTGGCAATTAAGCTGTAAAAGCGAACTAAAGGTTTTATACTGTTTTTACTTTTGGATAGAATTATAGCAAATCGGTGCAATAATACAGGCTATTTCACAATTATCAGAAGCAATGATTAGCATGATACAGGCCTTGGATGAAAAAAATACAAATTTATTAAATTAATACACACTGCTTACTTAGGAGGCAAAATCTTTCAGAATACCAAGGTCTCTGGGGATAAAAGCATCTGGTTTTAAAAGGTAGGAACCACTTACTCATTTCAACCTCTTCATTTCACAGTTAAGGTAGCTAAATGAGGCTTAGAGAAGTAAAGAATCTGGCCAGAGTTCTTATGGGAGAGATCCAGGTCTAAAGAGATAAATTCTTCCTACTCTTGTAAGTTGCTTCCTTTCTCTGAGATGTTCCTAAGTTTTAGCTTTCTCTCCACTCTCACATACACACTAACACACTAGTTACTATTAATTTTGATAATTTCTGTGGTTTAAATAAAGTGCTTGGGAAACATGCCAAGCAGCTATCACAAAAAAAAACTTAGATAATATTAATAATAAAAAACTTGGGGATAAAAGACATAGTATTTGAGTGTGATAACTTTTCATTAGGCAAATTTTAAGGTATTCAAAACAACAGTAGGAACTTGTTGGATATATTTTTAAAAAATGACAGATTACCTCCCTGTATAATAGTAATGTCTGCATGGTTATCCCTCGCCCCAGTTACCCTTCTATCCAAGAGCCAGATGTGCCCTCTAAATTAGGGGGCTGGGCAATCAGACAAATCCAAATTGAAGGGCATACTGCAAACAACTATCATCAATGGGCTGGAAAAGACTGGAGAACCACTCTAGAATAAGGGAAACCTAAAAGTCATGACAATTAAATACAATACATGACACCTGACTGGATATGGGATTAAAACAAAGAAAAACAAAACAGGGCTTTCCTGGTGGTGCAGTGGTTGGGAATCTGCCTGCCAGTGCAGGGGACACAGGTTCGAGCACGTGCGGTGGAGCAACTAGGCCCGTGTGTCACAACTACTGAAGCCCGCGCACCTGGTGACCATGCTTCACAACGGGAGAGGCTACCGCGATGAGAGGCCCGCACACCGCAGAGAGGAGTGGCCCCCGCTTGTCGCAGCTAGAGAGAGCCTGTGTGCAGCAATGAAGACCCAACGTAGCCAAAAATAAATAAATTAATAAAAGAAAAACAAAACAAAAATAGCAATTAAAAAAACAGCTATAAAGGCCATTATTGGGACAATTGGGAAATTTTAATATGGACTGTGTATTTAGATGATACTACTGTTGCATTCATTGTGAAATGTCCTGAATGTGTGATAGCTGTACTGTGGTTATGTAGGAAGATGTCCTTGTTCCTAAAAGGTGCTTAGAAATGTAGAGAGGGTGACATGATATATGCACCTAACTCTCAGAGAGAGACAGAGGGAGAGAGGGGGAAGGAGGGGAATGGGCCCGTGCCTGAGCGCGCAGAATGCAGAACAGGCTGTGTCATTCACAAACATGCCAAGGGGTGAAAGGTATGTGTGTTCGCACTACTATTCTTACAACTCTGCTGTAGGTTTGCCATTTTTCAAAATGAAAAGCTGGGGAAGAATTTTGAGTGCCAGGAAGTAATCCGCGTCTGTGCACAGCTGGAAAGATGGAGCCCCTAAAGCCAAGCTGCTTTGTATACTGTGCGGCTGCAAAAGGCCTCTGTGTTTTATGACTTGACAGTGTGCTGTCAACCAAAGGGAAGAGGGCAAGTCAGTGTCTGAAATATTTACGCGTTAAATTTCCTCCACTGGGGCATTATGGCACTTACATGATTTCTAATTAAGAAGGTAAACACCCTAACATTTACTTAAAAAAACACTTAGTACAAACCAGTTACACATTTGGTAAGAGTATAAATATTTTTGGAGTTGAAAAAGTCAGTAAAAGGTAAAATCATCCTGATTTTAATGTTCATGTACATGTGTTCACTGGTTACTGCTTTGCAGTTAATTTAAGATGGCCTTTTTCATAAGCAGAAAATGTGCATTTTTATATTGTTTAAATTTTAATATGGATTTTTGTTCAAAACAACACAGACATCCAGGCTACTTGTAAATGATACAAGATTTTTTGCTAATGAGGCATTATGTAGAACATATGCAAAAATCACAACTCAGTCTTCCAAAATAGACCACAATAACAGGAAAAGACATGATTTTAATAAAAAAGAGCAGCACTGGGCTTTTACTTCAAAGCAATTAAGGGCTTTGGATAACCAAAAGTTTATGTCAAGCTGATGCCAAACCAAACTGGTCTATTAAACACATACTACGAAGAGTTTCTGTAATATTCTATGAAAAGGCTCTTTGCCATAAATATCAAGCACCGCACTCTGAAGATTACAACTACGTTAGGTTCATGTTTGAGAACAAGGAGTCCAACATTCAGATCAGGCTTCTAGAATTTCAAATCTGAAATAATGTATCCATGAAAGAGAAGTTTAAATATGTTTTCCATTTTGTGATTTTTCTCTACAGTAAATTATACCAAGTTTTATATTCTCCCCAACATTTTTCAACAGTTTTCCATTAGTCTCAAAAAAATTTCTGTTACACATAAAATTTTGAGCTATGTGTAAACATATAAGAAAAAAAAAGACTTGAAGACCCTTATTTGAAGTCATTTCTTCAGTTTTCAACAACTGTATTTCAAGAAAGAATATGTTATTCACCATAGGTACCCTTCCTTCTAAGCAAATAACCAATAATTTTCAATTTTATAAAACTGTAAGGTAGGGTACAAATTGCTTTCATTATTTGGCCTCTGCAACAAAAGCTTCTTTAATAATACTTATTTTGTCTCTGCTTCTAATTCTTGATGTGACAAAAATAGACTGCTATGGCGTGAATAACATAATCCCGTAAGGTTAGCCTTAGCTTAGTTTTTAAGGTAAACTCTTCTACGTGTATATGCTGATGTCTTCTGCTGAAAATACCTTATACTAGAAAATATGCAGACCCATCTATGGCTCTAGTTCTTCGGCTGTTCTAGTCCTAGGACTGAAGGACTTTTGGATTTCCCTTTCAATTAACACAACACTCTAGTTCTTAGATGATCATATTCCTTTGGAAGAAGGAACGGCCAACACAGGGTCGATCTTACTCTTTGGGAATTTAAGAAATATAACAGAGAAAGTAGTCTGATAACCTTGTACTCAGCTGTTGAGGAATGGGCTCCAAGCTTGGGCTTGGCCTAATGCAGAATTTTTATATTCAGATAATATTTTAAATATGGCTGTTGGCAATTTATTAAGATCACCGTATTCAGTTTTGGGGTCTTCAGCACTGTTCCTCACAAGGAACCATTTATTGGTTTTCCAAGAAGGCTAGGTCTATTCTTAGGGGGAACGTGGATAACACCCAGGTATTTAAAACCCTGGTTCAAAGCCAGGGTTCAAATTACATTCCCTATTACAAATATAATTCTCAAAAATATTCATTTTTCTTTTGCCCTGCACTTAGAAGGGTATATTAATGTCACTAAACATATAGAATTTCATTACAAAATTTAATTTTACACTTAACTTTTTAGGAACACAAGTTAGTAGAGATAATATTAACCTTTTAAATCTTTGAAATAAAAAGCTTTTCATATATTTTTGGCCCACTTTATTTTTTTAAAACAAGTCTTCTATTATGCATCTTAGCTTTTTCAAATATAAGTATGTAAGGTTTGTTTGTGAAAGAAGAAGTAAACTCTGATTCTGAAATGAAAAAGTGGAAAATCATACTTGGTTTTTCTAAATGAGAACCTACTCACATAAGTATGATATCATACTTGGTAAGGGAAAAACAAATAGAGGATCTAGGTCTGGTTTAAAAAAATATTAAGAGAGGGCTTCCCTGGTGGCGCAGTGGTTGAGAGTCCGCCTGCCGATGCAGGGGACACGGGTTCGTGCCCCGGTCTGGGAAGATCCCACATGCCGCGGAGCGGCTGGGCCCGTGAGCCATGGCCGCTGAGCCTGCGCGTCCGGAGCCTGTGCTCCGCAATGGGAGAGGCCACAACAGTGAGAGGCCTGAGTAACGCGAAAAAGAAAATACTAAGAGAGAAATAAAAGAGACAAAAGATATAACAATCATATGCAATGTGTAGACCTCATTTGGATTCCAATTCAAACAGCAGGAAGTCATCGTTACAGAAGTTTGAACATAAACTAGTTATTAGATGGTATGAAGGAACTGCTGTTAATTTTGTTAGGTGTGATAATGGCACGGTGATTCCATTAAAAAAATTCCTTATCAGACAGCAATATATACTGAAGTATTTACAGGTGTGATGACATGGTATTTGGCAGGGGCTAATTAATTAAAGAAAATGAAGGTGAAGGGATAGATGAAACAAGATTGGTTAGCATGTTGATAACTGTTAAAGTTGAGAGATGAGTACATGAGATTTCAATATGCTACTCTCTGTACCTTTGAGTATGCTTGTTCCAAACAAAAAGAAAAGGGCCATAAAGGAAGAAAATAATTCAAGGAAGAATATGGTAAAAAGATAAAATCTTGTTGGAAGCACAACATGGAAGCACAAAATGAGAGAAGAGGTATTAGGAACCAACAAATGACAAAGGAGGACGGAAAAGAAAATACTATATATTATCAAACATCAAAAATGAAGAGGCAGCAAGGAGACTACTGAAGGGCCCCACTGTCACCCATAACAATCAGCAGAATTCGATGCAAACTTTGAATATTAGGAGAGGTAACATCTTTATGGGATGAAAAAACTGGGTACTGTATTATGGAATTTACTACCTTTTAAGGTTGGGAAAAACACTTAAATAAGGTTGGGCTTATTCACAAGGTATGCCAACAGCTGAGTCCTTGTCACACATATTTTTCTTGGTAGGTACAATCAAATGGTATCAGAACTTCCTACCCGCTTGGTAAATGAGCAGAGGAAACAAGATGAGGCAGAGTAGGTTAGGGAAAAATGCCCTTAGACGTGAGTTGTTGATAGCAGTTAGTAGGTCTAGAGCAGGCTTATATGAAGAATGTTAAGTAAAAACATGATTTTTAAATAGACTAGGCTTATCCTTCTATGGCACATGATAAAGTATTTTAAACTAATTTTGACCTTATCAAAGTGATATTTCTGTTTTAACATACCTTTGATCTGTAGCCTGCTGTTCTCGAAGCTGAAGAAGAGATAACTCAATTTCATTTTCTTTTCTCCTCAACTGAGTTTTCAGGATCTCAGCCAAGTGCTCTAACTCTTCTATCTGGCCTCTCTGTGACTGAATAACATTTTCTCTGAAATAAAGAATCTTTACAAGAATTTGCAGCTTGAGGGAAAATCTGCAGTATATAAGAGCAGTACAAAGAAAGTGCTTCATAGTAAAGGGCAAGCAAAAGTTAAAAATTTTAGCTTAAATGCCCCGGCACATAGTGAAATAGTAGCAGATTAAATGTGATGATTTGGAAGTACATATGGAAGAATTCAAGGTATTGCTTTATATAAGATAATGTCCTAGGCAACGGACTGGACTGTGGTTCAATTCAATGCAGTATTTATTGGTCACCTACTAAGTACTCTGTGATCTGGTCTTCTTCAGATAATTTATGTGCCTTTGTTCTTTCATATGCACACCTGCCTACACCACCCAAATTAACACTTCATAGAGAGAAGGCAACAAGTTTGCAAAACAAAACTTAGTGATCTCTGCTTTATATTTTATCTCTACCATGTCTGGCAGCATCCCAGTGTGCCAAGCCTCAGGACTGGTCTGGACCCTTGCTGTTCCACTGACTAAAAGGAAACAAGGTTAGGTCTAGTCTTTTAGTTTTATTCTTTCACAGGCAATCATTACTGTAACTGGTATTTAAAATATTCAAAAGTAAAACTTTAAGCCAATATTATTCTTAAGCAGCTATCTAAAGTATGATACTCTTTGTCTCCTGCTTTCTCTCCTCATTCAGAATTGTTACTTTTTGATGATCCAGGTGAAGGCCTTATCTTCATTTGTGTGACTTACAGACACTGAGATCACCATAAGGCTTTGATTAACTGGAAAAGTAAGCTAAACGTGGCAGAAGTAACTTTTTTGAAACCACAGTATGATGAAGAATGCGGTACCATAGAATCAGCATGAAACAAAATCTGAAATCCATATGTATTTGATAGCTCCAAACTTTTAAGCCACTCCCTCCAATTCTTTTTTCTTTTTTTAAACCACAGAAAGGCTAATTAATTCATGATCTAAAAAACCCTGAAAAACCAAAAAAACTACCTGTAATTCTTCTGAGAATGAAAATGTTGCCTCTAAAGCTTATACTATTCTAAATGACTGGGCTTTATGCCATTCCATTGAGGGGGAAATTATAATAAAGAGGACTCTTCTCTAAACGCTTCCACTGAGGCAACTGGTTAAGTTTTTCATTTACCTCATTGTACTGGAAAGATGTTATATAATATCTGTTCTTACCTCACAGATCTAGCTGTATTTTAATGGAGCAAACTATTTGTACACAAACCAATTTTGTTTAAAATAAGGGCAAGGGAGGGATCAAAAAAGACATGATCAATATACAGTGTTCTAAAATGATCACAAAAAGAATACATACAAATTTCTTATTTCTCCTCTGGCTTCTTCGAGTAAAATGTTGCCATGTTTTGTAGGCATGGGTTGCAGAGTTTCCGCTACATCTGTATCTTGGAATTTAATACCTAAAAATAAATTAATAAGATTATTAATTAGTGAAGTTATTTAGAAAACAAGGACCCTTGACTTGCTATTGTAAGGAAATATGCAATACAATAAAGTCTCTTAAGTACTGAGAGATATGTGCTCCATAGTACAGAGAATCAGACATACATTGCCAAAGGAACTGTTAGATCTCAGCCACCAGTTGGCATTAAATAAAACACAGCAACAAGTATTGCTCATTTAACAAACTCTACTATGGAAACCAAATTACCCAGAAATAGTTTTATTCAACTTAGATTTAGAACTTCCAAAGTAAATGCTGAAAGAACCAAAATTTTAACAGGTCTTTACAATATAAACTGAGGTATGAAGGAAAAAGTTTTCAAAACCGTGATTTTTTTTGAGTATTTTTGATAAAGGTTTTTTGATTTTTAAATTACTCATTCATACCCCTTGACCTTACATTTTGAACCTTATCTTCATTTGTGTGATTCACAGATACTGTGAGCGTTAAGTCAAAATGTTTCCTGTACTTTCATTTATTCTACCTCAATAAGAAAATCCATATTTAAACAAAGGTAATTTGAGAAGAGATCATCAATAGGATTCCTTTAAATAAAACATATTGCTGCTGCACTTAAATATAATTTTTCTTATAAAAATAATTACAATTTTTGTAATTTACAATAATTTTGTAAATATTGTAAATTACAATAATTTTTACAAGCCTGGTCCCATTGTTAAATATGAGACATTCTTTTAATTATAGGAGTTACTTTACACTTATAGAATAATTAGGCTATTAGTTTTAGGTAAATGAAGTATGACAAATAATTTAGATTTTTAAAATGGAGAATAGTTCCAGACATAAAGGTACAGAAAAAACTCATTCTCCTTATAAAAGTTTACTTTTTAAAAATGAGAATTTTAATTAGGAAAAATGGAACTATCATTTGCTATTTCCAAAACTTTCAACATTTATTGCTGTAATCCAGAGTAAAGAATGGAACAGGCCCTGCCTAAAACATTACAATAGTTTACTGTGTTAAAATTTGCCAATTATATTATTTTGGCAGTAATACTAATTCTTAAGCTTTTCCTACATAAATCAAGGAAAAACTAAACATTACTACTAGAACTTAAAAAAACCCCACTTATACTCAAAACATATCTTAAAACTTACAGTCTCATGGTGATTTTCCAATGGCTATATTTAAAACGTATACACTTTATAATCTTTCTACTGGTTCTTCACAATAAGAATTGTTTCTACACTACACTGATCACACCTTAAGCCTGTACTTTCTATACTTTATCCTGACAAGATACAAATAGGAAACGATAATATCTGTACAGCAGCTTTGGGGGTAAGACTGCTTGTGGCCCAAGAGGGTCAGGGTTCTTGCCCAGCCCCTCAGGCTGCGGTATTTCTGACAACTCTGGTCTAAGTCCCAGCCTCAAAGGCGGTCTTGAAGAGTCTATTAAGGCTACTAAGGTAGCGATCTTGATAATGATGCCTCAGGTTCACACAGAAAGAAGTTAGGAAAGTATTCATTACTATTTAATCCTTTGTGCAACTTCTATGTCCTAGATTCTGTACCAAACAGTGAAAAAGTTCTGAATTACTAACAGTGTAAATACAAGGAGAAATTAATCTATGTAAGTAACATTTTAAAGGCCCTTCTATTCTGTGGCTCTTCTACAAGGAGAAACTTCCATCAAACTCTTCTATTTAAACAACAATTCATAGTACTAGATTAGCTTGCCATGTTAATCTAATATTTGGGCATAGTTTTTATTTAGCATAAAAGACCTTGCAGACCACAGGGATCATCTTGCCCAACTGTAGTCACAGATGACAAAACTAAGGTTCAGAGAGGATAAATGACTATTTAAAGGTAAAATATATTGTTGTGGACCTCCCATCTCCTGACCTTTCTTCTAACCTGGTGTTATCATTCCATTTTACAGATGCGGAAAATGAGGCTCTGGGAAGTCAAGTGCTCTCTTCCAAATAAAAAGTTAATTAGCAGCAGAATGTATTTTTGATTTATAATTCATTATGATTACTTTGGTTATATTCAAAGTCTACTGCTAATCTCACATAGCTAGGAGTAGCCAAGCTCTTTTATCCTGGAGCTGCCTCCTGCCTACTACGGAGGCCTTACTGATTTCAAAGGAACTCTGTCTAGGGAATATATAGTGTTAACATTTTGGCTTGGAGAGAAGAATAGAACAAATTTTTCTCTTTTTCTGTTCAGATGGTGTTTTATGTTCCCTCAATGAATTGAAAGTCTTACATGATTTTTTTATTTCCCTAAAAATGTTTGGTCTTTAAGTGGAGCACGTTCCAAACAAAGATGAACTAGAACAAAATTCGATTTCCTTCCCTAGTAGTTGAAATGAAAAAAGTATTCCTTAAAATATTTATTGACTTTTTGCTTCATTATAAATAAAGTTTGTCTGTGGGTGGAGGGAATGGGGAATTTTCATTAGAAATACTTAGGTTCTGTCTACAGTATTGAGTCTTCTATATTCAATTGAATTGCTCTGTAAGCTGGGTAGGTTTTAGGTGATTCATTTTCAAGATGAGAAGAGTGATTGACCAATGATCATTTTTTGAAGATGGAAGAGACCTTTATGGTCGCTTGCTTAAATCCTTTTATTTTATGTGTAAAGAAAACTCAACTTCAGAATGATTAGAAGACTTGTCCAAGGTCACCAGACAATAAGCAGAGGAGCAAGAACCCAACTTTTTAAACCCCTAGTTATGTGCACACTCCACTGTCAAGCTGCCTCCACACAATGAGGAAGATTTAAACAATTCTGTAAAATTTATAGAAGGCCTTTGGATGAAGAACCTAAGTGTGATCCTTCAGAACAACAGTGTGACCATATGAGCAAATTAGTGGTTTCTCTATTTGCCTGAGTCAATGTGATTTCCATCCATAATATAAAAAACCAACTCAAACTACACTAAACCCGTAATTGATGTAGTTTCATACATGCTTCTTTTATTAGTTAGGAGGAATAGTTTTACTAGACAAATGTAAATGTTTTATTAGACAAATTTGAGCATGATCTAGTGATTCTTATATAAAATGATCTTCATGTTAATGTGATTTTATCAAAAAGTCAAAAAATGATTTCTCTCTTTCTAAAGACACTCAAAAACATGAATAGTACAGAAATAAAACTCTGTGTGTATGTACGCATGTGTGTGTAAAACAAGTTATTAACTTAAATTTAGGATTTAATGTAAGCTTTATTTTACCTTTCCTGGGGCATTCCTGTAAGCCTGCATTTTCATTCACTTTTCTACGCCCAGTGTTAACACGAGATTGCACATAACTGTATGGAGTTTGCCTGTGACCCTGGATCTGAAGTTGCTGTTTGGTTGAAATTAGTCTGTTTTTGAGGACTTCATTTTGTCTTTCAAGCTCATGAACTTTCTCTTGCAGCCGCTCAATCATTTCTTCCATTTCCACATCTCTTCCCAGCCGCTTGGGGCCGCCACCAACCCATTCATATCTTTTCTTGTCATTAACTAGCCGTATTAACTTGGTGGCCATTCTAGGGAAATAATAAAAAGATGAAAAGGAATGTGAGAAGTCAGCATAAAATGCATTCTGTTGAAAGGAACATAATCACTGTGAAGACTTCAGTGCAGAACCTGAATAATAAATTTCAGGTTTTGATGTAACTATTACTGCCTGTGAAGAATCCTTTGATGATAATTGAAACCACTGGGCAACAATCTGCTTTATAGCACTGACAAATAACAGTTTCCTAAGGCTTATCATTTAAGGTTAGTAAAGAGAGGACACATATTTACTCCATATGTTCCTCAAATGCAATTTTTAACGCATGACCTTATGTAGGAATGCTGTATGCACTTAAATGTAGCTACAGATTGTGGATATGGTGGGTTATATCTGCAAGCCACAGTAAGTTAAAACTTTTCAAAATTGTATTAAGACTATGCAGCATTTAGGTGATGTATTGTTTTCAGTTTCTCTAGGATTAAGACATATTACAAATATAAAAATGTTAAAATGCATAGATACATACATATTAAAAGCCCAATGAAAAATTCAAAAGAAACCCAAATGCACCATTAAATGTTGCTTAGTGCTCAAGAAACATGCCTGTTTAATGGTAGAACTTAATTAGGTACAGAAAGTATTATTTCAATGGTACTTTTAAATTTAGACATACATTGTGCTTTTGACATCTCAGGAGTTTATACCTTTGATTCTTTTAAGTTTTGATAAAAACTGGTTAGACAGAACAAAAGACAGAAAGGGCACATGGGGGTGATGTAATATACACGTACGGAAAACATGCTTGACAGTGAATGGAAAAATCTTGGCAGTACAAGAAAGAAAAGGTGGCTTTGATGAGAGACACAAGTTCAAGACTTTACAAAATTGGTCGCACATCTTCAATAGCTGATTCTAGTTTATAGTGAATCTATTTTTATAAAGACCCAGACAGGAGATTGAAAATAAAAACACACTTCATTTTTCTTTAAACGGGGGTTTGCTTTATTTTAGCATGGTTATGGACAGAAGCTTTTACTTAGGAGAACAAAAGTGAAATAAAAAAACCCCTTAATAGCTTTGGGATGTCACAGAACAACCTTTTTTTGCCCTAAGCAGAGTCCTCAGTAAAAGCAGTAGTAATACATGTCTATCTACACTTCTGGCTACTCGGCCTACAGCACGCAGCATCAGGGGAAAGCTATGCATAACATAATCAGTTAAGATTGTTTTCTTTTTCCCTTGAGGCACATCTATTAAACATGCTTTATAAAGGATATAGGATAATAAAAACCAAGATCCAAGAGTACCACAAACACCCTAGTAAAGTAATCAATGGATTAGTTCCTTTTCCACCTAATCCAGAGAAGGATATATCATTGAGGTATCTGGGCAGGTATCGTAGCCCAACAGAGCCACACACTCTACCTAGCCCTTTAGGACTCTGAGCCCCACCAAACGGCTTATCCATAGAAAGATGGGAGCCATTTAAATGAGATGTCAACCTAAATATCTGAATCTTCTTTTACACAAAGACTTTCACACGGATAGAGATTACATTCAAAAGAAAGACATAGATTTAAGCAAAGATCAATAAAACTAAAAGCTGGTTCTTTGAGAAGATAAACAAAATTGATAAACCATTAGCCAGACTCATCAAGAAAAAAAGGGAGAAGACTCAAATCAATAGAATTAGAAATGAAAAAGGAGAAGTAACAACTGACACTGCAGAAATACAAAGCATCATCAGAGATTACTACAAGTAATTATATACCAATAAAATGGACAACCTGGAAGAAATGGACAAATTCTCAGAAAAGCACAACCTTCTGAGACTGAACCAGGAAGAAACAGAGACTATAAACAGACAAATCACAAGCACTGAAATTGAGACTGTGATTAAAAATCTTCCAACAAACAAAAGCCCAGGACGAGATGGCTTCATAGGCGAATTCTTATCAAACATTTAGAGAAGAGCTAACACCTATCCTCAACTCTTCCAAAATATAGCAGAGGGAGGAACACTCCCAAACTCATTCTACAAGGCCAGCTCCACCCTGATACCAAAACCAGACAAAGATGTCACAAAGAAAGAAAACTATAGGCCAATATCACTGATGAACACAGATGCAAAAATCCTCAACAAAATACTAGCAGAGAGAATCCAACAGCACATTAAAAGGATCATACACCATGATCAAGTGGGGTTTATCCCAGGAATGCAAGGAGTCTTTAATATACGCAAATCAATCAATGTGATACACCATATTAACAAATTGAAGGATAAAAACCATATGATCATCTCAATAGATGCAGAAAAAGCTTTTGACAAAACTCAACACCCATTTATGATAAAAACCCTCCAGAAGGCAGGCATAGAGGGAACTTACCTCAACATAATAAAGGCCATATATGACAAACCCACAACCAACATCACCCTCAATGGTGAAAAACTGAAACCATTTCTTCTAAGACCAGGAACAAGACAAGGTTGTCCACTCTCACCACTATTATTCAAGAAGTTTTGGAAGTTTTAGCCACAGCAATCAGAGAAGAAAAGAAATAAAAGGAATCCAAATCGAAAAAGAAGAAGTAAAACTGTCACTATTTGCAGATGACATGATACTATACACAGAGAATCCTAAAGATGCCACTAGAAAACTACTAGAGCTAATCAATGAATCTGGTAAAGTAGCAGGATACAAAATTAACGCACAGAAATCTCTTGTATTCCTATACACTAATGATGAAAAATCTGAAAGAGAAATTAAGGAGACACTACCATTTACCGTTGCAACAAAAAGAATAAAATACCTAGGAATAAACCTACCTCAGGAGACAAAAGACCTGTATGCAGAAAACTTTAAGACACTGACGAAAGAAATTAAAGATGATACAAACAGATGGAGAGATATACCATGTCCTTGGATTGGAAGAATCAACATTGTGAAAATGACTCTACTACCCAAAGCAATATACAGATTCAATGCAATCCCTATCAAATTACCAATGGCATTCTTCACAGAACTAGAACAAAAAACTTCACAATTTGCATGGAAACACAAGAGACCCTGAACAGCCAAAGCAATCTTGAGAAAGAAAAATGGAGGAGGAATCAGGCTCCTGGACTTCAGACTATACTACAAAGCTACAGTAATCAAGACAGTATGGTACTGGCACAAAAACAGAAAGATAGATCAATGGAACAGGATAGAAAGCCCAGAGATAAACCCACGCACATATGGTCACCTTATTTTTGATAAAGGAGGCAAGAATATACAATGGAGAAAAGACAGCCTCTTCTATAAATGGTGCTGGGAAAATTGGACAGCTACATGTAAAAGAATGAAATTAGAACACTCCCTAACACCATTTTGAGTTTATTTTTGTGTATGGTGTTAGGGAGTGTTCTAAGCTAAATCTAAAAGAATGAAATTAGAACACTCCCTAACACCATACACAAAAATAAACTCAAAATGGATTAAAGACCTAAATGTAAGGCCAGATACTATAAAACTCTTAGAGGAAAACATAGGAAGGACACTCTATGACATAAATCACAGCAAGATCCTTTTTGACCCACCTCCTAGAGAAATGGAAATAAAAACAAAAATAAATGAATGGGACCTAATGAAACTTAAAAACTTTTGCACAGCAAAGGAAAACATAAAAAAGATGAAAAGACAATCCTCAGAATGGGAGAAAATATTTGCAAATGAAGCAACTAACAAAGGATTAATCTCCAAAATTTACAAGCAGCTTATGCAGCTCAATATCAAAAAAACAAACAGCCCAATCCAAAAATGGGCAGAAGAGCTAAACAGACATTTCTCCAAAGAAGATATACAGATTGCCAAGAAACATATGAAAGGATGCTCAACATCAATAATCGTTAGAGAAATGCAAATCAAAACTACAATGAGGTATCACCTCACACCTGTCAGAATGGCCATCATCAAAAAATCTACAAACAATAAATGCTGGAGAGGGTGTGGAGAAAAAGTAACCCTCTTGCACTGTTGGTGGGAATGTAAATTGATACAGCCACTATGGAGAACAGCATGGAGGTTCCTTAAAAAACTAAAAATAGAACTACCATACGATCCAGCAATCCCACTATGGGCATATACCCTGAGAAAACCATAATTCAAAAAGAGACATGTACCAGAATGTTCACTGCAGCTCTACTTACAATAGCCAGGACATGGAAGCAACCTAAGTGTCCATCGACAGATGAATGGATGAAGAAGATGTGGCACATATATACAATGGAATATTACTCAGCCATAAAAAGAAATGAAATTGAGTTGTTTGTAGTGCGGTGGATGCACCTAGAGTCTGTCATACAGAGTGAAGTAAGACAGAAAGGGAAAAACAAATGCCATATGCTAACACATATATATGGAATCTAAAAAAAATAAATGGTTTTGAAGTACCTAGGGGCAGAACAGGAATAAAGACGCAGAAGTAGAGAATGGACTTGAGGACATGGGGAGGGGGAAGGGTATGGTGGGATGAAGTGAGAGAGTGGCAGGAACATATATACACTATCAAATGTAAAATAGATAGCTAGTGGGAAGCAGCTGCATAGCATAGGGAGATCAGCTCGGTGCTTTGTGACCACCTAGAGGGGTGGGATAGGGAGGGTGGGAGGGAGATGCAAGAGAGAGGAGATATGGGGATATACGTATATGTATAGCTGATTCACTTTTTTATACAGCAGAAACTAACACACCATTGTAAAGCAATTATACTTCAATAAAGATGTTAAAAAAAAAGTTTGAAGCAAAAAAATAAGATTTAATATGAAAAAGCAGTCATCATCTAGAGAAAAACAAACCACTCCAATTTTTAAGGCAAGAAGAGCACATCCATAGAGAGGCTTAAAATTCCTTCAAAGATATGCAAGTAAACTTTGCCAAGAACGGTAAGATTGCATCTTTTTGTCCAGTAATAGCAATGATTTTCATTTGATTATTTTATATTAATGAAATAAGTGATCAGGTAAAGTTTGAGTACTTCTTTAGAAAGGTGGTTTAGCAAATCTACATTCATACTAAAGTAAGTGATTCTAATTATATCTTAAGGATAAATTTAAAGGTAGTTTATCCATGTACCTAGGTAATGTCAGTGGTGTGAAACTGAGAAGGAAATCAGAGCTTTGGGTCATAGTGGTCATTGGATCACTACCCTCAGGGCTGAGTAAAATAAAATTCCTGGAGGTTAAATGGCTTGAACATACCATAGGCGAGTGGCAGAGAGACAAAGAACACATGCACATCACTTGACTCCTAGCCCAGTCCTTTTTCCATTAAACTACATAGCTCATTAAGTTGTTTTCTATTTTCTGGCTAGGACATATTACTAATGAGGTCAAGGCTGTGAATTTAATTCTTTTACTGACCAATTAGGTTTACAAAGGAAAAAAACTGTTCAGTGGTCACAGACTAAATGCCTCATTCAGACAGGGTGACGGCTGTGTTAGTGGTCAGAAAAAGAAACAGGCAAGTGAGTCTTGAAAAAAGCCATCATCACGACTCAAAAACCAACTCAAAGTAAAAGCTCTGCACAAAGCAGGTCAGTGGGTCATTAAAACAAAGTCCACAGAATAGAAACTGACTAGAATCACTCCTTTAGAGGCTAAGTTCCAAGCGGAAGAAAAACCCCCTATCTTCTTTGTTCAATCGTTGTCTCACCTTTCCATTGAACCTAGAACATGAATGTGAATACAGATCTGTTCATGCTCACAAATGAGAATGAACTTTTAATGCCACACATTCGGAAGACAGTCACTGTTACTGAACAAGAAAGAATGAAAGCTATCTACTCTTAAGAAATAATCCCTGCAGAAATTTTTTGCATACAAAAGTGACCCTGTTTCCTCAGAAACAATAGATTCTTTGAAATAAATATAGATTCTAGATTAATCCAAGCAAAGTAAAATATGTTCCAGATAGTGATGTTCTCATTAGTAAACCCCAAATCTTAAAGGAACATGCATCCTAACAAGTTAGAGTAGCTAATTACTTTTTAAAACTTTCATTTTAAAATCAAGACGTTTAGAAAACAGATGTTTTGGCCATTTGCTTATTAAACTATAAATATTAAAGCAAAAGTTATTTAGAGATACGATACACTTATGGCACTCATAGCTATTAGCTCTTTCTTTCAAATGGCAACTTCAGACATAATAAACACTCATAATCTTCTTGGTTTATTATCCTAGTTTGTAAGATTTTCCATTTTTAAAAACTGTACTGATTTATAACCTTCCTTGCTCCAAAAAGGATTCAAGGTGGGGTTTTCAATTAAGTTTATAGAAAAGCATATCCTCCAAACTTTACAGAGTCAGGAAAAAAAGCTAAAAGCTTTTTATCATAACCTTTTAATTTTATCCTCTTGCTTGCGGGCATGCTGTTTAAGTAAAATGTTCTCATCATGCAAACGCAAAAATCTGTCTTCCAGTTCCTCACGACTGATACGTGACACTGCCTGGCGAGACTTCATTGTCCGTGTTGTTGAAGTTTCTGCAAAAATGCCAAGGTAATTAATAGGAGGATTACTTAAAATAGCCTCTAAACACAGTAACTGTCGATATTAACATAATCTCTGATGCACTCATCTCAGGTTTTTTTGTGACCTACAATTAAGACTGCTTTAGAAAATGTTACAGCATTGTTCACACCACTGATAGGAGGTAAGAACAAAAATCTTTGCTGTTAATACTTTATATGCAATATTAAGGATTTGAGCAACAATCGTTTCCACTCAAAAAATGTACTCAAATAACAATGTAAGATGGAACTTACATCAAATAAGAATGAAAGATGCAACTCTGATTCAATAAAGACTTTTCAATTTATATGCTGAATGTTGAAAAAACTAAATAAAAAGTCGGTATCTGTAAGTATTTTTTTCAAAGGTAAGAGTTATAACAATAACAATATGATTAAGATATTTTTCTGAGCTATGGCTTATAGAAAATAAACAATAAAATCTGTAAGACCAAGCAAACAAAAACCTTCACAAATCATTTATAAGCTATCATATATTTTTAAAGAACTTTTACACCTTTTAGCAGGTGTGTATGTATTTTTTTACATATGCTTAAATTTGCTATTTTCCTGTGAAGCTGGTCAATTTTCAACAGTCCTCCAAAAGAAACAAGGAACAAATGGACAAAGATTAAAGCCCTATGAGGCGGTTACTTAGGGCAAGACTTGAACTTAGGGTATCAAATACTAAAAAATAGCCTTGTACACTTAAAATTATTTGTATTTTTAATCCCTGATACTCCATCAAAGATCTAAAGCAAAGCTTATAGGGCTTCCTTGGTGGTGCAGTGGTTGAGAGTCCGCCTGCCGACGCAGGGGACGCGGGTTCGTGCCCCGGTCCAGGAATATCCCACATGCCACAGAGCGGCTGGGCCCGTGAGCCATAGCCGCTGAGCCTGCGCGTCCAGAGCCTGTGCTCCGCAATGGGAGAGGCCACAACAGTGAGAGGCCCGCATACCGCAAAAAAAAAAAAAAGCTTATACATTCTTTTTACTTTTTAAAATTTTTCTTGTTTTTTATCTTTTACTTTTTTTTAAACATCTTTATTGGAGTACAGTTGCTTTACAATGTTGTGTTAGTTTCTGTTGTATAACAAAGTGAATTAGCTATACGTAATACATATATCCCCACATCTCCCATTCTTTTTACTTTTAACAATAAAAGCTGTATAGTCAAATTTATCTTTTTCAATGAACCATATTTTGACCACCTTTCTGTGGTAGTTCAAGGTGGCCACTTGCAGTGTTTTGATTAACAAGTGTATGAAGAAACCTTAGTGGAATATATTTTACATCACAGCCTTCTCAATGACAAATGTTATGGAATGACAGAATGGCTGACACACCGTACACACAAACAAAAACACAGCTCTACACTCTATATTGTTCCTTAAAGCAGTCCTTTTCTTTCTCAGTTTGAAAGTGCTTTTTAGCTCTATAGCAACCACTAAGTGATAAAAGGACAAAGAAAACCACTAACGTGTATTAATTTGATAAAACAAAGTCAATATCACTTGGCTAGCAAACCATTTTGAGATATTCTACTTGAAAGGCAAAAATGTTTAAATATGGCATTTCCTCTCATATAAAATTTAAGCTGAAAGAAACATTTTAATGGCGAATGTGATTTAAACCAGGCAATTTGGTTTGGAGGCTTGGTACTCTCTGTGTCGTTTCTACTGATGTGTGGAATTTTAAGATGATTTATAACAATTCTTTATCAGAACAGAGGGGGATTTTACATTTTCTATGAGCTGCTGATAATTGATGCATGCAGTAAAATACCATATGTTGTTCTAAATTCTCCATCTTCTTGTTTAGTCCAGTCAAGACTATATAGTTACTTAAATGGCTTTGTTTGTACGAATATCAGAAATACTTTAAATTAAAAGTAAAGAAATTACTGATCAAAGTTCATAATGGTAATAAATAACAGCTGGCTGTACCTTGTAACCCTCCCATTCCAAAGAGATTTAGACCTGTATCTTTCACAGGCAGGTCTCCTGCAGTCTCATCAGTTGGACCAGACATTTTGTATCTGTGGAGAAAAGAAAATTCAAATAAAATCTTTCCAAGTTGTAACATTAACTATGCAATGGAATGAACCAAATAAAATGAATAAGGCACTAGAACTTTAATGGACATCTTATTGCCCACATGTGCTGCTTGAAGAAGAGGAAAGCTTCTATTTTAAAAGTAATACTACATTCGGGCTTCCCTGGTGGCACAGTGGTTGACAGTCTGCCTGCCGATGCAGGGGACACGGGTTCGTGCCCCAGTCCGGGAAGATCCCACATGCCGCGGAGCGGCTGGGCCCGTGAGCCATGGCCGCTGTGCCTGCGCATCCGGAGCCTGTGCTCCGCAATGGGAGAGGCCACAACAGTGAGAGGCCCACGTACCACAAAAAAAAAAAAAAAGGTAATACTACATTCAATCATGGAGCCAGTGGTCCTTTCAACAGTATATTTCCTATCGTTTGCTTAGGAAATGAGGTAAGATTATCATTCTTCCTTTTCTCTTCTTCTTTTTCCTCTATCTGAAACAAAAACAAACTCCCCCAAATTTAAGAAATACCTCCTCTCCATCCTCTACCCCCTTCTCTGCTCCCCAAAGAAAGAAGGTATTTGGAAAAAACTCAAGTCAGGAACTTAATTCAAATGGTTGTTTCTCTTACTTACTGGCCGGTCAAGTCACCTAATCTTGCTGAGTTTCAGTTCCTTAATTAAAAAAAAGAAAAAAACAATTCCTATCTCACAGAGTTATTTTAAAGGTAAGTGAGATGGTAAATTAAAGGCATACAGCACATTTGCCTGGGATGTTCATATCACTTGAATATTAATCTTCAGCTTGATGCATAAAGGAGTGGGTAGTTCCAAGTTTTGTGAAAGAGGTTTCATAAATTCAGCAGCTGGGTTTGTTTTTGTAGTGTCCTTTGTTGCCATGAGGCCTAGGTCCCTACCTCCTAGTAAGTCCCAGGGCTTCCTACCTCCACATACATGCTGTCCAGCTAATTCTGGCATTTTTACAGTTTCTATTCTTTACAGAGATGCATCACAGTAACTTAGTTTTAAATGCGGATGTGAGTGGTCCATGCAATGTTTAGTAATGCAAAAAACCAATGAAGATGTCCTAAGGCAGAGGTTCCCAATCTCTAGCACATTGGTCCTAGAATGTAAAGTCTGAGAGAGTAGCAAGCTGATTTGTCTCGTTTACCTCTGTATTCTCAGAGCCTGGCACAGAGCTGGGTGCATAGCTGGCATTCACTAAATAGTTGTTGAATGAATGAATGAATGAATGGAGTCCTTGGAGCTTCAGGGTCTGTGGAGCCAGAGATGGTTTCCAAAATCTTGTATGCATATGTATACATGCATCATCTTTTAGAGAGAAGGTTAATAACTTTTATTATAACTCATCAAAGATTTCGGACCAGTGCATTTTTACTGTGACATAAACAACTAATAGACATATGCCTGGGAGATCATCTACTTCTCTTGGAAACACTGCCACAGGAGAGGTCAATTTAGGAACCAAATTAGCAAGAAGTTTAAACACAGGACACTTGTGAAAATGATAACTTCTCCATGATAGAGCTATGGTGGCTTTTATAGTAACAGTGATGATGATGATGGTGTTAACATTTATTGAATGCTTACCAAAACGTGCCAGGTGCTCTGCTTATGTGAATTAATTAACTATCTCACAACATCCTTGTGAGGTTGTTACTCAAAATGTTTCCTACTTTACAAATGAAGAAACTGATACACAACTTGGGTAACTTGCCCAAGGTCACACATCTAAGAAGCAGTTGTCTGATCCTACTTTTGACTGTCACAGCTGGGAAGCAGGGGACCAGTGTTACTGGCATCTAGAGGCCAGAGATGATGCTAACTATCCTATAACGCACAGGAACCAAAAAAAAAGAATTATCTGGCCCCAAATGTTAATAGCGTTGAGGTTGAGAGACCTTGCACAGTGCTGCGATGTCTCACCAACACCGTGTCATGCGATCTCTCCTGGCTCACGGCGTGCCACTCACACTGTTCTCTAGGTTCTTCAAATCCATGGTACCCTTGTCTTGCTCGAGGCCTTTGCACTAGCTGGCTCCTCATTCTTTGGAACTCAGCTGAAACATCACTTTTTCAGAGAGGCCTTCCGTGAGCATCCTATGTTAGAATACTCTTCCAATTTCAGCGCTGTTTATTTCTTTTACAGCAATCATCTCGATCTGCAATTATCTAATTTACTGGTTCATTACTACTTCCTCTTCACTAATAGAGTGCAAGCATCTTGAGACCGGTATCAGTCCTGTTCAAAGCTGGTTGGGAACAGTGCCTGGCACAGGGTGGGTGCCAACATTAATGTTTATGGAATGAATAAATGAATACCTGGCACTGAGACTAAAATAGTAAACAAAGTCTCCACCTTCATGGAGTTAAGAGGCTATGGGGTCATCACGATAAACAAATAACTGTAAAAATTAAGCAAACAATAGGTCACTCAAGAGGCTTAGGGTCTCCCAACCAATTCCTAATCCAGGGCAAATAAGCGAACTGTTTGTGTGACCTTCTACTTGAAGAAGGACCTGGAGAAGCACGGCAATTAGCCTCAACGCTGATCAGCTAGGGTTTAGGGCTGGGACAGAAAATTTCAAACCGGTGCTGGGGGTGGGGACAATGGGCGGGCTGCGATTCGGGCCTGTGGAGGTGGAGGTGTCTCGAGCCTGGCTTCTCTTCACGCGATTAGAACTCCAAGGCTTCTCCAGGACGTAGAGCACACCCCAGGACCCCGGCCCGTGCTGCAGGTAGAGCGGCGGCAACCTGCGCCCCATCTATTCCCCGGGAGTACTCACCGCCACTCTCGCCCCGCCGCTAGCTACCGTTGCTATAGCGCCGACGGCGTGTGGTGCGGCCGGCCTAGAGGAGCACGGGAAAAACATGGCCGGCCCCGTTGCCTCCTGGGAAATGTAGTTCTCTTCGGGCCCTAGCACGCCAGCTGTCGGACCTGGGAAATTGTCTTGCTCCCAACCCCGAGGCGCATTCCGGCGTCTCCGCAGTGCATCCTGGGAGTGGTAGTTCCCGCGGCTCCGAGGGAGAATGGCGGCAGGCGGGAGCAGGACGCAGAGAGAACTACATGGAGGAGGCGGGGTGTAGGGCGAGGAAGCTACGCGACTAGCAGTGGCGAAGGCTGCTGTATCGGCAGCATGAAGCGGACCCCGACAGCCGAGGAACGAGAGCGCGAAGCTAAGGTATGTCGGGCTCTCCGGAGTCTGGGATCTTTCGGGCACTTGTAGCTGGGGGCTGGGAACCGGAAGGGCCTGGTTGAAAGGTAAGCGGATCCATGGTCTTAAGCCAAGGGATGACAAGGCCTTGTCAGCAAGGGAGCCAGAGACTTCGGGGGCTCTAAATTCGTGCTGCTCGGGATGCAGGCCTGGTCCTGTTTGACCAGCTCACATGAGAATCAAGACACCATTTCCTTGTCCTGCTTCTGCACCTCATTCCTTGGTTAAATTTGTAGCTACCCATGTGCCTGAGTTTACCGGACTCTCAGGTGCCTGTGATCTTATCAGTTGTGCTTTCTTTTTCGGTAATGGTTTCTGAGGACTGACATCGGTTTAGGTGAAATAATCTGTGCGGTCAGATGTGTGTATTTGGAACAGTTGTCTATGTTGTGTCTTCGGCACAGTGGATATGGATCTTTAACTACAATCCCATTTTCTACTTTTGGGGTTCACCCTGTAGCATTTGCTCTTCCATGAGATTACAATAATAATAGTAATAGAATTTTTCTGTTTTTAGCATTTATTACGTGTCAGGCTCTGCGTTTTCATAATATTTATATTATTTCATATTCTTATCGCAACAGATTGCAAGTTAGATATTATACAGGTGGAGTATCAAAAGTCCTGTTTTACAGATGAAGACTTGAGGCTCAGAAGAATTGAGTGTTTCCCTCATTCCGCAAATCAAGTCCTATTTATTTGTCTAAATATATTGGTAATTGGGTCACTTGTTTCCATCTTCACCACCTTGGACCAAGCTACCATTACCTCTTCAATGGACCGTTCCAATAGTCTCCTTATTGGTCTATATTCACTGTACACCCAAACACTCCTTGCTCCCCTTCTGTCCCGCCTTCCACACAAGAATCTTCTCTACACTGTGGTGTGTGAGCTTTTCAAAATGCAAATCTAGGGCTTCCCTGGTGACGCAGTGGTTGAGAGTCCGCCTGCCAATGCCGGGGACATGGATTCGTGCCCCAATCCGGGAAGATCCCACATGCCGCGGAGCGGCTGGGCCTGTGAGCCATGGCCGCTGAGCCTGCGCGTCCGGAGCCTGTACTCTGCAACGGGAGAGGCCACAACAGTGAGAGGCCCGCGTACTGAAAAAAAAAAAAAAAAAAGCGAATCTAATCATGGCCCTTTCCTTCCTACATCTTCTGCCAACCACCTGTTTAAAAATATTTCATGGAATTCCCTGACAGTCCAGTGGTTAGGAGTAGGCGCTTTCACTGCGGTGGCCTGGGTTCAATCCCTGGTTGGGAATTAAGATCCGGCAAGCCTCCCAGTGCGACCAAAAAAAAAAAAAAGAATCTGTCATGGTTTTCTGTTGCTCTTAGGATAAAGAGGAAACTTCACATGCTCACACTGTTTTGCATGTTGTAGACCCTACTTGCGTCATCCACAGCCTCAGTAGACATGACACCCTCCCTGCTCTCTGCCCATCAGCCACTTTGGCCTTCTTAGAAGTCCCTCTGTCCTGTGCTTTATCTGGTTACAGGGCCTTTATACGTGCTATTTGTTGCTCACTCTGTATCAGGCAATTATTGGATGTGAGAACCATTGGTAAATGAAATAGACACTGTTTGTGCTCTCATAGAATTTAGAGTCCTACAAGTGAACTCACTTTGTCTTAGGGCAATACCTCTATGGAGTTAAAATATAAAATGTGCTCTATTATGACCCGAGCTATAGCCAAGTTTCACCAGAGACCTGAAGTTTCCATGTTTGATTCTGTATGTGATAAAGGCAGTATATAAAGATGGGTACAAAGGGGAAAGATCCTTCTGCATTAGTCTACAGCAATTCCAAGAAACAGATGTCACACAGTGGTATTGTGTGTAATGTCTTTCTTACCTTTTGGGTTTACAATGAAAGTTATTCATTTCTTCTGTAAAGACTTATTTAGCACCTATTATTTGCCAGACACAGGGATTCTGATTTTGGCTAAGATAGAATCCCTGCACAAGGGAGCTTTCATTCTATTGAAACCCTAACTGTTGCCTGTGAGGTAGTTGTTAATGTCATTCACACTTGATGGATGTTGAAATGGAGGCTTGTAGAAGTTATAACTTGCCCAAGGCCACTTGGTTGCTCTGTGAAATGAGGTTTTCTGACTCCAAAGCTTTTTTTTCCATTTTCTGCTTGTAAAACATGTTGAAATGATACAGCAAGTTGTCTGCCTGTTTACTTAAAAAATTTATTTGATCTTTATTTAAAATTTATTTATGAAATATTACTGGTTGGAGCAAAGTATAGGAAATTAAGTTTTAAATCTTAAATATAAAACGATAAAATGTTCATTTACTCATGAATTATCTTCTCTTTTTCTAAAGGAGGCGTTATTTACGTACCGTAATGTGCATCCGTTTAGTGTACAATTTGATGAGTTTTGATGGATAAAAACACCTGTGGAACCACCACCACAGTTGATACAGAGAACATTTTAATCCCTTCTAATAGTTTCTTCTTGCTGGTTTGCAGTCAGTCTCTTCCCTCAACTTGGCTCCCAAGCAACCACTGATAGGTTTTCTCTCACTGTAGATGAAGTTTGTATTTTCTAGAACTTCATATAGGTGGAAGTATACTGTATGTATTCTTGGGTCTGTCTGCTTTCAATCAGCATAATGATTTTTGAGATTGATTCATGTTGTTGCGTGTATCAGTGTCTCATTCCTTTATTTTGCTGATTAATTGTCTACTGTGTGGCTCTGGCACATTTGTTTATTCATTCACGAGTTGCCGAACATTTGGATTGTTTCTGGTTTGGGGCTATTATGAAGAAAGCGGCTATGACCATTCATGTATAAGTCTGCATTTTCATTTCTTTTGGATGAATACCCAGGAGTCCACTTGGTGCGTGCTATGGTAGTTCTATGTTTAACCATATAAGAAACCGCTAAACAATTTTTCAAAGTGATTCTCCCATTTGTATTAGTTTCCCAGGGCAGCTGGCACAGGTTCCCACAAACTTGGTGTCTTAAGACAACAAGAATGTTTTCTCTCACTGTTCTAGAGATATGTCTGAAACCAAGGTGTCGATGGGGCCTCTGAAGGCTCTAGGGGAGAATCCTTCCTGGTCTCTTCCAGCTTCTGGTGACTCTAGGCATTCCTTGGCTTGGGCTGTATAACTTCAATCTCTGCTCTAGTCTTCCATGACTACCTTCTCCGAGTTTCTGTGTCTTAAATCTCTGTCTCTTTTCTCTTATAAGGACACCAGTCATTGCACTGAGGACCTACCCTAAATCCAAGATGATCTTAATTTCATTATCCTCAAGGTCCTTAACTTAATTACATCTGCAAAGACCCTTTTTCCTAATAAGATCACATTGACAGGCACCGGTGGTTAAGACTTGGCCATATCTTTTTGGGGGATGCTATTCAAACCCACTATACCGTTTTACATTTCTGTCAGCTGTCTGTGAGAGTTCTGGTTGCTCCATAGCCTCACCAGTACTTGGTATTGTCCGTCTTTGTCTTTTAAATTTTAGCCCTTCTAGTGGGAGTGTGGTGGTATCTCATTGTGGTTTTAATTTGCATTTCAGTGATGACTAATGAGGGTGAGTATCTCTTTGAAAAGCTTTTTTCCATGTGGTAGTATCAGTACTTTGTTCCTTTTTATTACTGAAAAATGTACTATTCCGGGCTTCCCTGGTGGCGCAGTGGTTGAGAGTCTGCCTGCTGACGTGTGTTCGTGCCCTGGTCTGGGAAGATCCCACATGCCGCGGAGCGGCTGGGCCCGTGAGCCATGGCCGCTGAGCCTGCGTGACCGCAAAATGTGAAAAAAAAAAAAAAAAAAAACCACCCAAAAAAAAAAAAAAAAAAAAAAAAAAAAAAAAAAAGTACTATTCCAGTGTATGAATGTACCACATTTTGTTTAATCCATTCGCCAGTTAATGGATAGTTGGGTTGTTTCCACTATTTGACTATTATGAATAATGCTGCTGTGAACGTTTGTGTTCTACTTTTTATATGTACAAATGTTTTCATTTCTCTTAGGTAGATATCTAGGAGTGGAATTGCTGGGTCATGTGGTAAATCTGTGCTTAACATTTAAAAAAAACTGCTGTACTGTTTGTTACGGTCTGAATGCTTGTGTCCCCCACAAATTTTCTTGTTGAAATTCTGACCCCCCAGGTGATGGTATTAGGAGGTAGGGCCTTTTGGAGGTGATTAGGTGGTTAGGAATGGAATTAGTGTCCTTATAAAAGAGGCCTGAGAGACGTCCCTTGCCCCTTCTGCCATGTGAGGTTACAACATTAAGTTGGGAGTCTACAACCAGAAGAGGGTCTTCACCAGAATCCAGCCATGCTGGCACCCAGATCTTGGACTTCCAGCCTGCAGATGTGAGCAGGAAATTTCAGCTGTTTATAAGCTACCTAGTCTATGGTATTTTGTTACAGCAGCCTGAATGGACTAAGACATTGTTTTACAATGTGGACGCACCATTTGATATTCATGTTTGAGGGTTCCAATTTCTTAACATCCTCATCACTTGTTATCACTATCTTTTTGAAAGTGGGTGTGAAGTGGTATCTCATAGCGGTTTTGCTTTTCATTTCTCTGATGTCTAATGATGCAGAGCTGCTTCTTGTGTGTTGGTTTATCAGGTATATGTCTTCTTTAGTGAGGTGTCTGTTCAGATCTTTTGCTCTTTTTTTTTTTTGGGTTGGGTTATTTGTGTTAATATTAAGTGTCATGAGTTCTTTATATTTTCTGGATATAGGTCCTTTGTCAGCAATATGTATGGTGAATATTGTCTCTCATTCATTTAGTTTACTTAATAGTCTTTACGAGCAGGAGTGTTTAATTTTGATAAAGGTCCAATTTATCGATATTTCTTTTTATGATTCATGCTTTTTGTGTCATATCGATGAAGTCTTTACCTATCCTAAGGTCACAAAGATTACTTGTTTGCTTTTTTCTTTTTGGTTGCGTTGGGTCTTCATTGCCGCGCGTGGGCTTTCTCT